GCAGCGACGGCGACGGCGGCGGCAGCGGGGTCGGCGACTGCGACAGTGGGGGCGGAGGCACCGGGGAAGGGGGACGCGGCAAGGACGGACCGGGGGTACCACCAGAGTCAGCAGACTCCTCAACGGGGACAACCGACGGGAGGGGAGTGACGTGTGAGACACCAGACGGGGCAGGACGAGGCGGGAGAGGGGCAGGGGCTACCGGGGGAGAGGGAGCAAGGAACAGGGGGGGGCCAACTGGGAGACCTCGGTGAGGGAAGCGGCGGTAGAAGGAGACAGACTCGTCAAAGGTGACGTAACGAGAGAGGAGGAAGCGGTGAGACGGTGGGTGGTAGAAAAGCCAGTCAGACGAGTCCAGGGGGAAAGCGAGGAAGACACAGGGGACAGTGCGGGCAGTGAGGTTGTCCGTGCCAGAGGCACGAACGTGAGCAAGGCAGCCCCAGACGTGGAACGCAGACGCGTCACCGGGGGACCCGGTCCAAAAGAGGGTCGGCGAAACCTGCGTCCGCTGGGAGCGTGGCCACAGGTTAAGCTGGTGAGCAGCGTAGCGAACAGCGAACGGCCACAGAAAATGGGGGGCATCGGCATGGATCATGGAGGTACGGGCGACCTCCATGACCAAGCCGATGCGGCGCTCAGCAACCCCATTCTGCTGTGGCGAGTCCGGCAACGTGTACGACTGGGTGATGCCCTCCGCACGAAAGAACTGTCTAAGCCGACCAGAGGCGAACTCGCCGCCACGGTCGGAGTGGAGACACAACACGGGGAGACCGCGGTGGAGACGCGCAGCCACAACCCACGGGAGAAGAACGTCGGGCACGTCGGCCTTCCGCTCCAGGGGAAACACCGTGGTGTAGCGCGTGTAGTCGTCGACGAGCACAAGGAAGTAGCGCTCACCGCGCGGTCCGGGGACGGGGGCAGGGCCCCAAACGTCCAGGTGCAGGGTCTGAAGGGGGGCAGTAGCAGGACGCAGCGAGGAGGAGTGAGGAGCACGGCGGAGCCCACCCTCGACGCAAGGCGTGCACGGTGGCGCAGTCGAGGGAGGAAGGGCAGGGAGCGACGCGAGGAGACCTAAGACAAGACCGTGCTGGGACATGTGACGCAGACGCGGGAGAGCAGGGTGACCTAAGCGGTGGTGCCAGAGAAGGGAGGGGTGAGTGAGGGACCGACACGAGCAATCTGCAGCGACCTGGGAGGACGCACCAACCGGGGGGGAAGCGGTGTCTAGGGTAAACAGACCGGACACCGGGTCCCGGGGGAACGTCGCAAGGGGGGAACCTGAGACAGCCTCGGAACAGACAGCGAACCGCTCGTGCCCGGGGAACGTGGTGGTGACGCCGAGGTCCTGGAGACAGCCGACACCAACCAGGTTCCTGGAGAACGAGGGAACGTGGAGGCCAGTAAGGGAGCCCGAGGGAACTGCCGGACAGGGAAGGGACGTAGAACTGCGCGCGACGACAGGACCCGCATAGGGGTCAGAGAGAGAGACAACAGCAGGTGCAGCAAGCGGCGTGAGCTTGGAACGGTCGCGGAAGAAGCAGGCAGAAGCACCGGAGTCGAGAGTGAAGGACAGCGACGCAGTGGCGGAGGCCGGGGACGGAGCTGGTGCAGCGACTAGACTAGGCAACCTAGGCAGTCCTACGCCTGACGCAGCAGGGGAGGCTAAGCTACACAGTGGTGCAACACCTAAACTAGAGTACACAGGATAATAAGATCCAGCAAAACTAGAAGCGTCAGAATACAAAGCATGCAAAGCAGCACCTAGCTGATCCATGTCTAACTCAAAGATCGGCACGCCCTGGCGGAGCAGGCTGTGCCAGTCGTGGAGGTCCGGGGCCGGGCCAAAGCGACGACGAAAGAGATCGTCGAGGCGGCGGAAACAGCGGGCGGTGGCACAAAGTGCCGCGAAGAGGCCCGGTCTGAAGCTGGTACTGGCAGGTGACAGCACCGGAGCCGCCGATAGACGCCAAGCTGCACGGGCCGCCACCACGGCCACTACCTCCGGAGGTGCCGGGCCAACCTGGCGGGAGACGGGCCCACTGCTGCGGCGACTGCTGCTGGGACGGTGACTGCTGCTCGGGCGGCGGATGCGGCTGGGGCTGCTGCTCCTGCCCACTAGTGGTAGTCCCCGCAGGCGGACTACCGTCACCACCACTACTGCCACCACCACCCCTACCCCCCTGGCGACCACGGCCACCGCGGCGCGAGCGCTGCTGCGGGTGGACCGCACCAGCCGTCTCGGTGAGAGGGGCCGCCAAGGCGACCGCAGCCGAAACGTCAGTGAACGCACACTGGGAGGGGGCACAACCGTGAAAGATAGAAACTGCCGGCGCACCGCTCGACTGAGCGATAGTGCGCTGGCGAGTCTCTATCTCGGTGAGGGTGTCGACAAAGGCAGTGAGAGTGAGGTCACCCGGGTGCTGGCTAAGAAAGTGATCGCGAGCACAAGCGAGGCGGTCTGGCAGGCGCATGGCGATAAAATAGAGCGTCATGCAGAAAGGGGGGGGGAGCGCGGTGAGCTGGGCGGCAGTGCTAGCAGTGCGATAGCGGGTCTCTAGGGCACGCAGGTGAGTGGCAAAGTCTGCGACGGTAGGGAAAGCTGCAAGGTCTGGGAAAAGCATAGGGAAGAGGAGGCGACCAGCAGAAGCAGACGCGGGTGTGGAATAGCGGGCAATAACAGCGTCTAAGTAAGCTTTGGCCGTCTCAATCGTAGCAAAACGCGAGCGCTGAGAGACAGGGAGGGCGTGGCTAATGGCAACCTGAGCGACTGCATCGCGGGAGTCCCAGACCGCACGGGCAAGCGCAGCAGTAGAGAAGGTCTCACGGTCATCAGAGGAGGGAGCAACAGGGAGGGGAGCAGGTGCGGGGGGGCGGGGGAGCAAGCCGTCGACATGGACAACCAAAGAGTGGCCATCCTGGCGCTGACCTGTAAGGTGGCGGCGGAGATCGAAGAGCCAGGCGGCGAAGTCAACCGCATGGCCCTCGGCGTCCAGTCGGAGCACGAAGTCCGCCATCGTGCAGGGTCAGCGGCACAGCTCCACAGGAACACAGCGACGCAGGAACACAGCGACAGCCCCCTCCAGCACGGCGGCCGCGAAGCGCCTCAGCACGGGCGAGCAGAGGAGACGGAGCCCGAGGCGGCACGGCAGGACGAGCCGGGGCGAAGGGGCCAGGCAGGTGCGGTGGGGCCAGGCAGGTGCTGGCGGGGCCAGGCAGGCGCGGCGGGGCCAGGCAGGCGCCGGGGGGGCCAGGCAGGCACGGCGGGGCCAGGCAGGCGCGGCAGGGCCAGGCAGGCGCGGCGGGGCCAGGCAGGCGCGGCGGGGCCAGGGAGGCGCGGCGGGGCCAGGCAGGCGCGGCGGGGCCAGGGAGGCGCGGCGGGGGCCAGGCAGGCGCGGCAGGGCCAGGGAGGCGCTGCGGGGCCACGCAGGCGCGGCGGGGCCAGGCAGGTGCGGCGGGGCCAGGCAGGCGCGACGGGGCCAGGCAGGGCGCGACGGGGCCAGGCAGGCGCGTCAGGGCCAGGCAGGTGCAGCGGGGCCAGGCAGGCGCGGCGGGGCCAGGCAGGCGCGGCGGGGCCAGGCAGGCGCGGCAGGGCCAGGGAGGCGCGGCGGGGCCAGGCAGGCGCGACGGGGCTCGGCAGGGCGCGACGGGGCCAGGCGGGCTCGACGGAGCCAGGCAGGGCGCGACGGGGCCGAGCGGGCGCGACGGGGCCAGGCAGGGCGCGACGGAGCCAGGCAGGGCGCGACGGGGCCAGGCGGGCGCGACGGGGCCAGGCAGGGCGCGACGAGGCCGAGCGGGCGCGACGAGGCCAGGCAGGGCGCGACGGAGCTAGGGTGGCGCGACGGGGCTAGGAGGCGCGACGGGGCCCAGGAGGGGCGCGACGGGGCTAGGGTGGCGCGACGGGCCTAGGGTGGCGCGACAGGGCCTAGGAGGGGCGCGACGGGGCTAGGAGGCGCGACGGGGCCCAGGAGGGGCGCGACAAGGCTAGGGTGGAGCGACGGGGCTAGGGTGGCGCGATGTGGCCCAGGAGGGGGGCGACGTGGCTAGGAGGCGCGACGTGGCCTAGCTAGGGTACGGGCGGAAGCGGTAGGTGGGGGATGCTAACCTACGCGTGATACCATGTCAAAGTGAGAACGAATGATGACTAGAAGTGGAAACCTACAACAAATACTAGTTGGTTGTACTCACTAGAAGCATACCACGGTCTAGCCTATAACTTCTACATAGATAATATGTATAAGTTGACACATATATCCACCTTTCCCGGGGAAAGCCTCCCCAGTACCCTCCTAGAGAGAGAGAGAGAGAGAGGATCGACAGCGTTATCCCAGTGCCACGACAGAGGCTTCCACGGCAGCACGACAAAGCCGCCATGGTAGCACGACACGACCGTCACGGCGGCACGGAAGTAACGAGAAGAGGGGGGGGGGGGGGGGTACACGGCGGAAGCGTGAGGAGGCGGCCCAGCAGGGCAGACCTCCGGCTCTGAAACCATGTTAAGATAAGCTAGCAATGGAGGGAAGCCATGAAAGGCAACAGGTTTAGGTGCTAGGAGAGATTGTCAAGAGAAAAAGGGAGTGGTTGAATAGAAGAGAGAGGGATACAAGAAGTGGGGTTGTACCCTCTACAGTAGGATCCAGTCACACCTATCAAGCCAACAAATATATATATATATATATATATATATATATATATATATATAATCTCATATATGCGACATAGGGTGTGAAAATACTAGGTGAGAAATTACCGCAGGTTAGGTGTAGTGAAAAGCCGAGCATGTGATTAAAACAAGTGGAAGATATCACAACGTTTTTGTTCGTATCAACTTCGTTGTGATTTTGAAGAGGCTCTTCCATATGAGGTTTTGTTATATGGGGTACAATCTTGAAAACGAACACCAAGTGCAAAGCGAATTCCAAGTCGTCCCTGGGATTGGGGTGAAGCGAACCCTTCGCCATATTTGAACAAAAAGGCAGCTGTTCCCCTGGACTTGCCATTTTCCTCTGTTCTTCTGAGATAATTTCACTCCATCTGTAGACTGATTACCTTCGCATCTCATTCCCCGAATTCCCATGGATGCTGCTAACCAAAACGAGGTGTGTAGGCGATAAGCGCTGTATACATTTCTTGTTTACCGGTAGCCTAACTTGTTCACGCCATTGATGCAGCTTGACCTTGATACCGAACCATCGCTGAAGAGGCAAAGAGAGGAGCCTGTTGGAAAATCGAAGATTGATACGCAGGATAATTTTGGACAGCCTGATTCTCTTGAAGCACGAGATCGAGAGCCTAGTCCTGCAGTGGCGGAAGTCCACAAAAGGATAGAGGATTTCACACAAAAGGTCACTTCTGACTCTTATCTCCTCGGTTTTACTGACGGGATTACCAGCTGACTTGCCTTCTACATTTTCAGCTTTGCACGATTCTCGATGCTGGAAAGCAAGCTCTTTCTGCAGCCCACGCAGCATGGGAGGAGCAGCTCGTTCAGTAAGTTGAGGTTCCTGCCTCTTTATTGGGCGCGTTTCAGTTCCTGTTGAAGTAAATTGTACGCCTTGCAGGATCCACGAAAACCAGATTGAAATTTGGCAACGCCAGCTTGAAGAGATCAAGGAACTGGAGTCCATGAATGACGAGATTGGAACACGGCTCCTGTCAGCACAAAATGTCTTTGACCGGCTGCAGCCAGCCGTTGCAGAGCGTCATCTTGAAGAATGAGTGTATTACTCCCCAGCTCAAGCTGAATTCCTGGCTTTGTGGAGCAGTGAATGACTGACTGAGTGCTGACCTCCACAAATTTCCGCAATATTGTTGTACAGCATGTGTTACACTGATTCCTGTGCCTCACATCACATGTCCATCAGCAGACGCACATCGTCCATGCGCAATAGTTGTTGATCTTCAGGTGATCTACGCTCGAAGGCAGCACGGGCAATAGCCCTCTTCTTCTCCTGAAGCATCAGCATTCGTTCTTCTATGCTGCCAGCTGCAACTAGTCGCACAACATCAACTGGGTTTTCCTGCACCACAAACAGCAAGCAATGATCAGCAGCAGCAATGATTAATGCATCAGCACGTCCGTACTTCAAGTGTATATGCTCAGATAGTAATCATCGTACCTGTCCAATGCGATGGACACGGTCCATTGCTTGCTGCTCCACAGCAGGATTCCACCAGGGCTCGAGAAGAAACACCCGTGATGCTGCTGTCAGGTTCAAACCAACACCTGCCAGCACCTCATGAACAAGGAATAGTAATAAATAAGGGGAGCAATGTAATGGACAAAATTTGAACTATACCCTAGCTAGGAAAATTTCCAGACTCACCTGCTGCTTTGAGCCCCACGAGAAAGACTGTTGGAGAATCTTCATCCACTCGACTGAACTCTTCAATGGCCTTCTCCCTCGCACTTAGTTTGGTGCGGCCATCCAATCTACAGCACTTAGATCCAGCAGCCTGCAACCTCTCATGCACCAGATCCAGCATTCGAGTAAATTGAGAAAACACAACACTCTTCAGCCTTGGCTGCTGGCTCTGCCTCCCACCCTCTGCCCCTAACGCACCAGGCCCTCCATCTCTTCCTTCTGGGGGTTGGTACCCTGGCGGCACCTGAAGAGGCTCATGAAGAGCAGCAATAAGAGCATCAATCTTGGCACTTGCATTCCCCTCAATCCCTCTCATCAAGCTCCCTTTTGCAGGGTCCCCATTAGCACCATCTCCATCTCCTTCTGTAACATCAGGCGGAGCCTCCACCAGATGAGCCTCGTCTACTGGCGCTCTGCACATGGGGCACGCATGCTTCTGGATGGAGAACACTCGGCGAATGCAGCGGCGGCAGAAGATGTGGAAACAGGGAGTCATGACCGGAAGGGTGGGAGGCGAGAGGCAGATGGGACAGTCCTCATCTGCTGCGCCTGCTGCCAGGAGTTCCAGAAGCTTCTGACTCAGAAGGGGGTCCAGAGGAACTGCGGCTGATGGAATGCAGTGAGAATGGGAGAATAGAAACACAGAGTGGAGTAAAACAAGAGGAAACTCTAAACCAAGAGAAGAGCAGCAAGCACTACTGCCAACAACCACACCCCCATTTTTGGAATTCCCAATACCAATTTCGAAGTCTCACTCGCTTACCTTTTAGACCCTGGTTCCTGTCTGCCTCCTCCGCTGCAGCAGCGGACGCAGCAATGGCCTCAAGGACATGCGGTGGACAAAGGCCCCTGTGATCTGCAATCTGTCTGAGCCGTAGGATCATCTCGAGCACTGTAGCATAGTTCTTCATCAACGTTCCCTGTGCCATCATGCCACCCACAAGCCGTCGCACCTCCTCCTGCACTCTGAGAGAGAGAAGATACAGGGAGTGCGGTGGAGGAATGGAACAGCGGAAGAATCTAGAGTGGCAGCACTTGCATGGATCCAGGAGGGAGGGAGAAGCCTCGTTGTAGAAGCCCGAACTCCTATCACTGACAAAGGAGCTGACAGGAACAAGCAATCCTCACCGGTCATAGAGGTCTCGATCGTCTGGCAGCAGGTCGACTGGCAGCACTCGCACAGTCTTGGGAGGGAGGGACAGCAGCGGCCGGCCGTTCACCTGCATGTCCTTGGTGCGGCGCAGAGCAGTGGTGAGAACAAGCGCCTGAACGGGGCGAGAAGGGGAAGGGAGAGGTGGGACTTGCTTTTCAGGCGCCTGTATAGAGGCCGGCCGTTCACCTGCATGTCCTTGGTGCGGTGCAGAGCAGTGGTTAGAACCAGTGCCTGTCGGGCGAGATGAGCAAAGGGAGAGGTACGGACGGGAAAAACGGAAGGGGTTTAAAGGATGGCAGCGGCTGGCCATTCACCTGCATGTCCTTGGTGCGCCACAGAGCAGTTGTCAGGACAAGCGCCTGTGAAGTGGGGCGTGAAGAGGGGAACGAACGAAGAGGTGGGTCGTGCCTCTGAGCAGCCTGTACAGACTCCTGCCGTTCACCTGCATGTCCTGGGTGCGGCACAGAGCAGTGGTGAGGGAAAGCACCTGAAAGGGGCGGGAAGAGGGGAAGGGAGAGGTGGGGTCTTGCTTCTCAGGCGCCTGTATGGATTCTTGACGTTCACCTGCATGTCCAGGTAGTTTGCGGAGGCAAGAGATACACACATACACACACTCCCATCTCCTGAGTCCTGACCGTACCCGCAGTCTGTCCAGCCCAATCTGCTGGCGCTCCCTCATCGGCCGCTCGATCGCCCTGACCCAGATTGATCGATCATTGAGCGGGTCCAATTGAAGAAAGCAGAGCAGCGAGAAGAGGTCTCCCAGTGCGTTCTGCACCGGCGTGCCCGTCACTGCCCACCGCCTCTCCGCCTGCAAGGCTGTCGCCGCCCTTGCTGCTCGCGACCGCACCGATTTGATCACGTGCGCCTCGTCTAGGATCGCTCTCCTCCACTGCACTTGCAGCAGTGGCCCCCCTCCTGCTGCCGCTGCCCCTGCTGCTCCTGCCGCTCCTCCTGCTCCTCCTGCTCCTCCTGCTACGCCTCCCACCGCCCCTGCCAGCCCCCATCGCTTCCTCTGCCCCTGCCCTGCTGCCCCTGCCGCCTTCCTCTTTCTCCCTCGCGCCCCTGGCATGCCGGCATAAGCAGGCATGAGCATCCCCGGGCACCCAGGGATGGACGGAGGGGAGGGCGGCGGACTGTCCGCCCGTTCCGCTGCCACCCTCCCTGAACCCCCACCCCCACCCCCAGCAGCAGCAGCAGCAGCGTCAGGAGCAGAGGGAGGGGGGCACTCAGACGCCAGAATGTTGTAAGTGGTGAACACCAGGTCGAAGGAGGAGAGGAACGAGGGGTCTCTGACCCTGTCGGGCCCGTGGTAGACGTAGTAGCTCAGAGCTCCTGGCACCACGTGCTCCGAAAGCTGCGCTGTCCAGTTGGACAGCACGGACAGAGGGCACACCACTAGCGTCGCCTTGCTGTGCTCCGGCTCCTGTCCATCACCGCCAGCAGCTCCACTGGTGGCGGCAACAAGGGAGAGCAGCGAGAGCGTTTTCCCCAGCCCCATGTCGTCCGCCAGAATGCCTCCCCTCAGCGCCTTGGGGCGCTCCTCTGTAGTGAAATTCGTGAGTATGTTGGTGAACAGACGCCCCCCCCCCTCCCCCCCATCATCCCCATCCCCCTCCTCCTCCCCTTCCCCCCCCACCACCCCTCCCATTCCCCCTTCCTGTCCGCCTCTCCCTTGTCCCCTTCCCCCTCTACCCTGTCTGCCTCTTCCTCTCCCTCCTTCACCTCTCCCTCCTCTCTTGCCTTGTCTACTGCCTGAGTCTAGAGCCCCTGCCTTCCAAAATGGCGGAAGCTTCCTCGCGCTTTCCCTCTTGATCATCCACGCCAGCGCCCGCTTCTGATGTGGCAGGAGGGACGACTTGATGACGTGGCGAGGAGGATCCTCGGTCGGCCGATCCGCCTCCACCTGGCGTGCCAGGTCATCAAACATGGATAAGACCGCCTTATCCTGCTCTGCTGGACTCATCACCGCCCCTCTCTGCGCTAAAGCGGCAGCAGCTGATGCGGCAGCAGACGCAGCAGCTGAAGCAGTCTGAAACGAAGCAGACTGTAACGAAGCAGAGGGGGGAGCTTCCCCGAATGTCTCTGAAGTAGGGAGGGTGTTGGTTTCTAGAAGCGGCATTCTGGCCGACTGCAGGCGAGATGCGACTTCAGGAGCAGATTCGGGAGCGCAAAAGATGCACACGTGGCACGGCATGGTGTATACATTCTTGGTTCCTCGCATCACCAGCCCTTCGATCGCGGCCAATCCCGAGTCCACAAGTGGCGCCAGGTGGCACGCCTTGTTGCGGTCGATGTGGCCCACCCTCTGCCCTCGGATGTTATCCACTCGGATGGCGTTGCGGTCGTGCGGGTTGTTCGGCTCGCGAATCAGGCGAACCATCTGCGAAACAATCGGAATTTGTTACAACCCTCTTGCCACGAAATCTGGCGAATTCGGCGGAAAATACACGTCTTCCAAACTAGGGTAGCGGGGTTCGCAGAAACTAACCTCTCTAGGATTGACGGTCCCCGGATAGTGCTGAAGGCCTTTAATGTTGACCAGCACGCTGCCAATGTAGGTTCTATTGTCCTCCCCCTGAGTCGCGTCCCGCTGCGACGCATCGAAAACGTCCTCCTCCCAATCCTCCTCCATACCCGCGAACTACGAAGAGTGGCGGATTCACGAGCTTGAAACGCGATGGCGCGGCGCAATCTCTTTCCCACGGAGAAAAACGGAATGACAAGACGAGATCATGCCGGTAGGACGGCTGTAACACGAAGCCTGGATAATAAATGGATGGGGCGTTGATTTCGAAGCCGTTTCTAGGTGCACAGCACTTGGTGGTGGTTTATTGTACTGAACCGCAGATTCTTCCTCCGCACTGCCCAGCACCCAGTTTGCAGACGGACCCGATGTTCGGAAGTCCCTACTTGATACAAAATGCTCCATGTGTTTATTTAACCGGTGTAGCATTCTACTACTACGAAAATCGATGCAACTCAATAACGAACCCAAGCGAGTGCTTTCAAATGCGGAGCTGCCCATCAGCCAGCAGTACCAGTCAACAAATTCCTGCTGTCAACAGGAACTTCTACATTCTAACATTTCCCTGCTGATCCAAATTCCACCTACCAAGGCGACATGGATTCCGTCAATGCTGACAAGGTTTGTCAACCAGCAACTCTCCAGTTGGCTTACTTATCTAGTCTGACTCGTTGACAAAACTTGCAGTCTGACCATGATGTCGAACCAAGGCCCAAGGCGCAAGAAGAGTCGATTGAAATAGCTGATGCAGAGACGCCTCAGGAGGATGATGCAGGAACGCCTGTTTCTCGTGAAGCAGGAAATGAAGAAGGCTCGTCAACAGTGGCGGAACCTCACGAGACAACAGACGAGTTCGAACAAAAGGTCACGCACTCTCGTTAGTGTTATTCTGACTGTGGGATCATATGCTGACACGTTGTTCCCGTTCCGACCATTTCAGATGTTCGTTATTATTGAAGCTGGGAAACGTGCTATTTCCGAAGCACTTAAGTCATGCAAGGAGGAGATGCTCCAGTTAACCAGCACTCCTGTTTCTTCAGCTGGTGTAAGGTCTCGCGCTACAGGAATTTTGCTGGCGATTTTGCAGTCCCAAGTGCGTGAAGTCAAAATCCAGCAGTTAGACGAAATAATTGAGGAGTTAAATTCCCTGTGTGAACGCAATCAAGAGCGTCTTTCACGGCTCCAGTCACAACTTCGGGACGCAGATCGTTTGCAACCAGAGCCGCGCATTGAGGAGTGACCACGTGACAACGTCCATGGATGTTCAACCAATACACGTGATCAGTCTGCAATAGCGGATGATTAATTCCATCAGTCAGTAAAGCCATCCTCATGACGGCCACACATAGGCAGGTTGTGCAAACGCTTTCCCTAGCTCCTACAGCATCAACTAGGGTTTCTGTAACTTCCACTGATCTCAGACATTTTCCCCTTCTACTGAAATGATACCTTGTAACAGCAGAATGACTTACGGTAAGGTGTTGTGTTTGGTGCAACTATATGAGGTTCGCATTCGCAGTTACACATCATTGCACCGGAAGGCACACATTTGCAATGCTTTCAAAGTTCACATTAGGTACTGTACGGTACAAGTCAACTGATGGTTAGCTTCAAAAGTTGTTCACAACCCTAGAATGTAAAGCAGTAGATAAATACCAGCACATGGCATGAAATAGATCTGGTTGGCCCCACATCAATACAAAACCCGCAGCCCTCATGGTACCATGGATCTGACGGAGCACTGCCTACCCAAGAAAGGTTGCAAAAGCAGAAAGAGCTACTCAACAATCGATCCGAATCCAGATCGCCCCCGTGATCGCGAGGTAGTGTTAGTGCGAGAGTTAATGCTGGCGCAGCGAAGAAGCTTCTGAAACTCCGGCAAGCTGATGCGGCCATCCCCGTCCACGTCCCCCTCATCTATCAATCGCCCCAACGACCCCTTCACTTGCGCAGCCTGTTTGGGAGAAGGGATGGAAGATGTAAGGAATCACTCCCATTCCCACCCTTGATCACATGTGTAGCAATGCCATCGCATACAACAGCTCGATACTTCCTCAAGAAAACATACCCCACAAACCTTCACACCGATTCATCGATGAAGCCGTCCCCGTCCTTGTGAGAGTGGTGACAGCGAACCACCACCCTCAGGACCTTCAGTTACACATATCCACGTGAAGCACATATCCACACTTCACTGCAAACCCCTTAATCCCTTCTCACCACTCTGAGCTCCTCTGCATCGATGAATCCATCCCCATCCGTGTCGAAGTGCTGGAAAGCCGCCTTGGACCGCTCCTCCCACTTGGCTGAGTCCGCCTCCTCCAGCTGTTGCACGTGCAGAGTTGCTGCTACGAACTCATCGAAATCAATGATGCCATCACAGTTGGTATCCATCTGAGTGAGAGTGAGAGGAGGGTTGGAAGCAAAGTAAGGTTGATACAGGGAAGTGATGAAGTGTGAGGGTAGACATGGGCAAAATGCGATTGCGATTTAAATCACATCGCATTGGGGGGGAGATTTAATTAAATGTGATGCGATTTAAAATCGCATCGCGAGATTTAATTTCTGGAAAAAATAAATCGCACATCGCGTTCTGCGCGCGATGAATACCACATGCGGCATAAAATTAAATTGCGCGATGCGATGTTAAATCGCAACCAGAAAAAATCCATGGCTGCCAGGAATTGAATCACGGGCAGTCGTAAAATAGAGTGCAAATAAATAGTGCGGTTTCGTAGTGGGTTTCAGAGTGGGTTTCAGTGCGACATCGCGCGCGATTTAAAGAAAACCACATATTGCATTTAAATCGCTTTTCCCAGCGCGATTAAAATGCGATTCAAATTAAATCGCGCGATAACAATTCATCGCATCGCGCGATGTAAAAAAAAAAAACAATAGTAATCGCAATCGCAAAAACGCGATTAAATGCGATGTGATGCGATTTTTTTCAAGAGTCCGCCTCCTCCAGCTGCTGCACGTGCAGCGTGGCCGCCACAAACTCATCAAAGTCAATGATGCCGTCGTAGTTGGTGTCCATCTGAGGGTATGAGGCAGGGGAGGGAACATTCGGGGACAATCAACGGTATTCAGGGGTATGCCTCCTCCAGCCTCTGCACGTGCAGCGTGGCGGCCGCAAACTCATCAAAGTCTATGATGCCATCGCAGTTGCTGTCCATCTGAGGGTATGTGGCAGTGGAGGGAGAAATGGGGGACATTCAACGGAACTCAGGTGTCTGGCTCCTCCAGCTGCTGCATATGCAGCATGGGTGCTGTTGGGTTCTGTCCGGTGCTGTGGGGTGCTGTTGGGTGGGTGCTGGTGGGTGCTGCTGAGGGATGCTGTTGGGTGCTATTGGGTGCTGTTGGGTGCTGTTGGGTCCTGTTGGATGCTGTTGGGGAAAAGCCCCGAAAAAAGATTGCGGGGGGCCGTGGGGAAAAGACCGCGGGGGGGGGGGGGAGGAGGAAGCCCCCAGGGGGTGGGGGCAGAGAAAAGCCCGTCGGGGGGCGCGGGGAAAAGCCCGCAGGGGTCCGCGGATAATGCAGGTAAGGAGGGAGGCAGAGTTGACATTGGGGCACAGACATTAAGGTGTAGGGTAGTTCAGTATAAGGTTTGTTTTGAGACGTCTCAAAACAAACATTATATCACAGACACTGAAGTGTAGCGTAGTTCAATTCAAGAAAGCAAGTGAAAGAAAGTACCAAGTCTGCTGGCAGTAGAGAGCAAGGTGCAAAAATACGGTAATCGTATTATATGGGACGTTTAATACGGCCGTAATTTTCGGCAAATTTATGAAAAAAAACGCCGTTTTTTTTTTTGACAAGTCCTTTTTTTTTTTTGGCGGATCCACGCGCATAACAGATCCGCACATTTTGGCGAGCGAAATGCGAGATCCGCGCATTTCGGCGGGCGAAATACCAGATCCGCACATGTCGCCCGTCGGAACGCGAGATTCGTGCATTTTGGCTGGCAAAATGCCAGATCAGCGCATGTCGGCCGTCAAAACGCGAGATCCGCGCATTTCGGCGGTCGAAATGCCAGATCCGCGCTCTCTGGCGGTACATTTCACCCCATTTCTTGAAATTTCGGACAAAAAAACGACCGTTTTTTTGCACCACCCTCAAAATGGCACTTCTGACCGTTTTTTATCGTATTATACGGCCGAAAACTTCGATACTGTGCCATACGGTCAAATTTTGAAAAAAACGCCGTTTTTTTGCACCTTGGTAGAGAGCACAGCACAGATATGGTGAGTGGAATAAGAGCACTCACAGCTTGCAGTATCTGCACGACTTTGGACTCCTTGACCTCGTACGGAAGGTCCTTATTGAGCGCCTGCAGCACAAGCACACGGGAAGAGAACATCAAGTTAAGAGCGGCATTGGAACACGCAGATTTGGACCACTTTGGAGAATATCTGTACCACTTTGGACTCCTTGACTTCGTACAGAAGGTTCTTAATCAGAGCCTGCAGCAAAGGGGAAGCAGGGGAAGGAGGAATCAGTGGCAGGGGAAGGAGGAATCAGTGGCAGGGGAGATCAGGAGAGTCACCAGCGGTGGTATCGAATGGCCAGCCAAGGTAACCATGCCATCCCCATTGACCTCCATGTGACACTCCGTCCCTCCCGACTCCCTTGGCCACGCAAGCTAATAAACAAGCAACCATGCCTGATGTGCTCACATGTATGCTTATAACGAGCGTGTATGCTTATAACGAGCGTGTATGCTTATAACGAGCGTGTATGCTTATAACGAGCGCACACGTCTGATCTCATCACTTGTGATGGTGGTGTCCCTGTTGAAACCCAATGGCTACTTCGTCCCACGCCAAGCTCATTCATGCAACTGCCGCCCATGACGAGCTCAGATGACACGTGATATAAGGATGGTTTTGAGACGTCTTGAGACGTGATATAAGGTTGGTTTTGAGACGTCTTGAGACGTGATATAAGGTTGGTTTTGAGACATCTCAAAACCAACCTTATATCATGCTACTTCGTCCCAAGCTCATTCACGCAACGGCCCATGACGAGCTCAGATGACTGATTTCAGCAGCTCACGTGTCTGATCTCGTCGATGGTGATGGTGCCATCTCCATTGATATCCATGGCGTTGAACTGGTCCCTCAGCTGGTGCACCTCCGCGTCCTCCAGAGTGGTGGCCAGCGCCTGGTATGCAGGGATGGGGAGAATCAGGGGAAAAGGGGGTTACCAGCACCGTTGATATCCATGGCGGTGAACTGGTCCCTCAGCTGGTGCCCCTCCGCCTCCTCCTCTAGAGTGGTGGCCAGCACCTGGCGTGAAAGATATGGAGCGGAAGGGCAGGAGGGTGGTGAGGGTTGATGGTGATGGTGCCATCCCCGTTGAAATCCATGGCACGGAAATGAAGTCAACAAGGAGGAGACCATGCTGGGCTGGTCTCTCCTGTCTGTCCCTGAGCCAATGCATCTCCGCCCTCTGCTAGAGCATGGGAGATAGGAGGAGAGGAGTCAGCCAGGAGGAGAGGAGTCAGCCAGGAGGAGAGGAGTCAGCCAGGAGGAGAGGAGTCAGCCAGGAGGAGAGGAGTCAGCCAGGAGGAGAGGAGTCAGACAGGAGGAGAGGATTCAGCCAGGAGGAGAGGAGTCAGCCAGGAGGAGAGGAGTCAGCCAGGAGGAGAGGAGTCAGCCAGGGGGAGAGGAGTCAGCCAGGAGGAGGGGAGTCAGACAGGAGGAGAGGAGTCAGCCAGGAGGAGAGGAGTCAGCCAGGAGGAGAGGAGTCAGCCAGGAGGAGAGGAGTCAGCCAGGAGGAGAGGAATCAGCCAGGAGGAGAGGTGCGCCGATTGCGACAATTTACATGAGGGATATGCTAAAAGATGAAAGTGATAAAATCGATTATCATTATTATACACCCACGGTGAGCGCCATCTGCCTGTGCCGTGAGTACTTGAATCGCAACACATTGGCGTACGCACATCAGACAACGAACATGGCAACCCCATGCAACCACTAACCTTGGGCGCCATCTGTTTCAGCCGCGAGTACTTGACGAATCCGTGCATGTTGGGGAGCGCGGCGATGTGAGACGAGTGCTCAACTAATCATTGGTGACCATCTGTGACTGTGACACACGTCACCACAGACCTGAGGCGAACCTACTGTCCTTGGCAGCAACTAACCTTGAGCGCCATCTGTTTCAGCCGTGAGTACTTGACAAACTCGCGCATGTTGGAGAGCACAGCGATGTCGAGAGGGATGGAGGACGCGTTGCCGCCCTCCTTCACCCAGGGGTGGGCTGTAAAGGGAGATGAACCAAGCGAAGGAGAGGAGCAATTGGAAGAAGGGAGGGAGGAAGGAGGGTTGGCATCAACGTTGAGGAATGGAGAATGATCCTTTGCCATCCTCCTTCACCCACGGGTGGGCTGGTGGGCGGCATGTGGGGGGGAGGGTGACGTTAACACCAGGAAATAGAGCACAGCGATGTCAAGAGGGATGGGCGATGCGCTGCCACCTTCATCCGCCCCAAGGTGCGCAGGTGGTTTAAGGAGTCTATTTTTTAGGCGCCCCAAGGTGCGCAGGTGGTTTAAGGAGCCAGCAAGAAGGGAGTGGTGAGTGGAAAAGGAGGAGAGGAATGGGGAAAAGGGGGGGAGAGAGGCAAAGCAACGACAGCATGCGCTGCAGACAAGGATGGTGAGGGTGAGTGAGTGAGCCCAGCTCAACAGCAGGGGGGGGAGGAAAGAGCACTGACAAAGAGCCTGGGCAGCAGTGGGTCATTGGCGTCCAAGAGAGGGTGACTGGGCGCACACACCCCAGAGCACGGCAGGGTAGGCTCACCTCAACGGCAGAGAGTGACCTCACACAGCGCCTGGGCGGCAGTGGGGCGGGCACGTGGGTCCTTCTTGACAAAGTCCTTGGCGCTGGCAGTGAGAGGGATGCCCAGGTTGAGTTGGCTCACGTTAATGGCAGGGCGGTGGGTAGGGAGAGGGCACTCACACAATGCCTGGGCGGCAGTGGGGCGGGCGCGCGGGTCCTTCTTGAGAAGCTTCTTGACGAAGTCCTTGGCGCTGGAGGAGATCTGAGGCCAAGGCTTCTCCTTGAAATCGGGCTTCTTCTTCAGCACCTGGCGAGATGAAAGAGTGATATGAGAGAGAGAGGAGTTATGAGGAAAGTTGAGAATTTCCTTCTCAGTTCCAGTGATTCATGTGCCACTCGCATTTCTGAATTCACCCCTCCTCCCTCTCACCCCTCCTCCCTCTCACCTCTCCTCCCTCACCCCTCCTCCCTCTCACCCCTCCTCCCTCTCACCTCTCCTCCCTTTCACCCCTCCTCCCTCTCACCCCTCCTCCCTCTCACCCCTCCTCCCTCTCACCCTCCTCCCTCTCACCCCTCCTCCCTCTCACCCCTCCTCCATCTCACTCCCCTCCTCCCTCTCTCCCCTCCTCCCTCTCACCCCTCCTCCCCCTCACCTCTCCTCCCTCTCACCCCTCCTCCCTCTCACCCCTCCTCCCCCTCACCTCTCCTCCCTCTCACCTCTCCTCCCTCTCACCCCTCCTCCCTCTCACCCCTCCTCCCTCTCACCTCTCCTCCCTCTCACCCCTCCTCCCTCTCACCTCTCCTCCCTCGCTCCCTCATCTCCCCAGCTCTTCCCCGCTCTCACCTCATTGAATATCCCGGCCTCCGTTTTATCCCAGAACGGGCGTCGCCCGGACAGCAGAATATAGGTGATGACGCCGATGCTCCACACGTCGCTCTCAGGGCCGGACCGCCGCTTGAGCACCTCTGGAGCCACGTAGTACGCACTGCCCACCACGTCTGTGAAGTGCTTGCCTGGGAGAGAAAGGGGGCAGAGGAGGGGGATAGGGGTTGGCTGTCAAGGCAAGAAGACGGCCTATGCTCTACACGCCGCTCTCAGGGCCAAATCGCCGCTTGAGCACCTCTGGAGCGACATAGTAGGCGCTGCCCACCACGTCTGTGAAGTGCTTGCCTGCGGGGAGAAGGGGGAGGGGGGGGGGGGAGAGAGAGAAACATCAGGGTTGGGAGGGAGCGGGGTTCACGGGCTCCACTCAGACCACCGCTTGAGCACCCTGGAGCCACGTAGTATGCACCTTCCCACCACGTCTGTGAAGCGCTTGCCTGTGGTGACAAAGGTGAAGGGGGCCACTTTCGAATCCCGTCCAGAGGACATACCTGCACTGCCAACCAGCCACTGCTCTCACTGTCCCCGGCCCTTCCCCTCTTACCCGCCTGACTGTCTCCTCCTGCCATTTCCCCTTCCTCCCCTCTCCCCCCCCCCCCCCCCTCCCTCTCCCCCCAGTCTGCTCCGCACCTGGCTTTCTGAAGTCTGAAAGGCCAAAGTCGGTGGCCTTGAGCGGCGAATCCTCGGCCTTGCTGGCGAAGAGAAAGTTCTGGGAAACGGGGACAGGGCGGGTGGGATGGAGAGGGGTTGCAGCAGGGATGGGATGGGGGGAGGTATGGACGCAGGGATGGGATGGGGGGAGGTATGGACGCAGGGATGGGATGGGGGGAGGTATGGACGCAGGGATGGGATGTGTGGGGAGGCGGCTTGAAACATGAGAGACGAGTCCTCAGAATTGCCGGCAAAGAGAAAGTTCTGGGGACAGACTCTTGCCACAACCCTGGGACTCTCCCACCCCCTGGGACTCTCCCACGGGGAGGGAGAGGGGATGGAGTGGAGGGAGATGGCAGCAAGTGCAGGGGTGGCGGGGGTTTGCGGTGCATTCTATCGTATTGACCCAACCAAAGCAGCATGCGGGACGGGTTGGGGGGCGGGGGGGTTGGGTTTGGGGGGGGGTAGGGGGGAGGGAAAGAGAGCCTGTGTGGTTGCCTAACCTCGGGCTTGAGATCGCGGTGCACGACCCCGTTGAGGTGGCACCTGGCCACCACGTTGAGCATCTGCCGCACCACGCTCGCTGCGTCCTTCTCTGAGTACCGGTTGTCCTTCCTGCGCGGAGCAAGACGGAGGGAGCCAGCAGAAAGAAAGGTGTGACGATCAAGGGGCTGGGGGGGATGAGATCGAGGGACACGGGAGTGAGATCAAGGGGCTGGGGGGCTGGAAGTAATCAAGCGGAAGCAACCACCCACTTGCTTTCTTGGTGTCCGTTGTTCACACAGTCTTTTGGCAGACGTGGTGTCTTTTCTTAAACGGCATCGTCATCTCCCCTCCCCTTTCCCCCCCCCCCCCCCTCCCCCCCCCCTCACTTACCGTCACCCTCACTCACTAGCCCCCACCCTTACTAGCCCCCACCCTCTCTAGCCCCAACCCTCACTAGCCCCAACCCTCACTAGCCCCAACCCTCACTAGCCCCAACCCTTACTAGCCCCAACCCTCACTAGCCCCAACCCTCACTAGCCCCAACCCTCACTAGCCCCAACCCGTCATTCCCCCCATTCACTTGTGGTCATCCCCCACGCCCCCTACTCACTAGCCCCCCTTACCCCCCCTCCCCCCCCCCTCCCACCCCCTCTCCCCCCCGCCCCTTCACTCACTTGCCCAGGATCCTGTCAAGCAGCTCTCCTCCTTCACACAGCCTGCACGGGGTGCGACAGAATGACATAGGGACAGACTGACAGGATGTCAGAACAGAACGGCAATATGGCAAACTGATAGAATGGCATACGAGCTCCCTAAACTGACTATTTGAACAACGTCGGGATGGCCGAACAGCAGCTCCCTAGCCAATCCAGTGTACCCTGAGTACGCGCTATAATGCACTCACTCCATGGCGATGTAAACTTGTTCCGTATCCTAAAAAACGTCTATGAACTGCACCACCTTCGGGTGGCCCGACAGCAGCTGCAGGATGTTCACGTCTCGCCAACCAAGTGTACACTACGTACCCGCTAAAGAGCACTCACTCCATGGCGATGTAGACTTGCTCCGTGTCTTCGAAGACGTCAATGAACTGCACCACGTTCGGATGGCCCGACAGCAGCTGCAGGATCTTCACCTCCCGCTCCACGTCCTCCACCGCGATTGGCTGCTTCATCTGCAGCAGCGCGCCGAGCGAGCGAGCGAACGTGCACAGGCAGACAGACGCAGAAGGGAAACGCAGAAGTGAGACAGCGCAACTCGCAGCAAAACAAAAGCGCAACGCGCCAAGCCACCATAGCGAATCGAGGCACGTGAGGTTGGGCAAGGACCGAGTAAGAAAGACGCAAACATGGGTGCGGGAGCCAAGATAATGGAATGGAAAGTTCTGTCGCACAGGCTAGCGTCGAGGTATAGTCAGGTGAGAAGTTCCATTGGTAGGACAGCAATCCGCAAAAAGAAGAGGAGGAAACGAACAGTAATCAAGTGCATATTTGCTATTTTTGCTAATGCGAAGCAGCAGTGCCACGAATAGCCCCATGGAGATCGATGTGATACGGGCAAAATTGGAAATGCACTTCAGAACCAGTCACTGGAAGACACATATCTGGCCATAGACTCACAGCTTGGTCGCCATTACTAGCCAGGCAAGTAGCCATTACTAACCTGGCAAGAAGCGTATTCCCCTTCCATCTGAACCGTAGACATTGTCCTAGTTCATTTATCTCTCTTATTTTTTTAATAAGGTTCCTGAGACGCTTACCGATTTCTTTTGAATCGCCTTCACGGCCACGCGGTTGTCTGTCTCCAGCTGTATCGACTCATAAGTCGTCCCGAATTGCCCGTGTCCGAGCTCCTTCCCCGTCTTATAATGCTTATCGAAGTCGCGCTTATATCCGAAGTCGGTCCTCAGGCCTATGGGAATGCTCTTATCGTCTTTCGGGTACTTAGCGTTTTGTAGCCTCGCTCCGTCGCAATTATCGTCGCCGGTTCTACTACCGCCGGTGACAGGATGCTTCTGAATCTGTTCCTCAGCTTTACCCTTCGCTGGCTTGTCGGCTGGAGAGCCGAGGCACGTGGAAAGACACGCTCCCATTTTGTTTTTAGCGTGGTTTGCCTGCTAGACTAGAAAAAAAAATACGGTCAACCGAGACTGGAAATAGATACGGTCGCACTGAAAATGCCGAAGCTGTTTTTCGACGATTCGAAGCTTATTCCGCTGGAACACGATACTATGGTTGCTTTCAATGGCTCGTCACGACCTAGACCGCAGCAATGCCAAGTGACCACCACCTGTCTAGCCAAGAGTGGCTTGCTGTTGTGGGTCATCACCTGCCTTTTCTGTACAGCAGTGCTCTGCAGCGCAAGACATGGGGAACTGACTCAAGTCAGAGACCTGCACGAGTGACCTTACCACGTGATCATGCACTAAACCGATCTGTTTTGCAGTGCACCGTCTACCACCATTATTTAAGCATGCCTACGGCTAGAAAAGTCTCACCACTCTGGTCAAACGCTTTCCATCGGTTTGGTTTGTGGGGCCTTGGGCTTGCCGACGAGCTTGCGCTGTGCGATAGGGCACTTTGTGCGGATAAGCGGAAAGAGCTCCGACAGCCATGACTCGTGGTCGTGTGGCCCACGAGGAGACCGCAGGATGCCTCGGCCATTTTCCGCCAGGCCCGCGCGGGGTCTGCCGAAGGAGGAGTACACGGCTCGAAATGTGCGGAGGTGATTTGGCGCGAAGATTTCTCAGGGCTGACGCAGGGAAAAAGGGGACTAAATGGGGGAAAACATTGTCCCGCTTCAAGGGACCCCCTGCAGACCATATACACCAAGCTAGAATCTATGCCTACAAACCTAAACAAACCTAATTAATAAATTGTACAACTCCAGCTACGTGTGATTAGAACTCCTAGGACAAAGCCCAAGACACCTGCTGTTGTGGCAACTAATATAACCAGCCGAAACATATCTTCTAATCGTTTCGACAATTCTGAAGAGAGCCCTCTGCAAAAACGAAGCAACCACACCAAGGTACGGTATCAAGAAGAAAGCAAGCACCAAGAACAAATGGACCAATCCACCATGATTGGCATGTCAAAAAGAATGTGCAGCGGCACACATACATATCAGACAACGACTCACCTGGCATCATTGATGCTTTGTCGAAGGCTCTCCGCTTGTTCTGACACTTCCCTTCGCATTTGCTCTAGCTCCTTTACATGTTGACGCTCCTGCAACAGCAAAGCAAACAACCAGCACCTAGGTCATGCTCCATGCACACACTCCACTAACAAAAACCCAACCAAGTCACAAAATTGTTGTAATGCACTAAACACACAGCAACCACACACATCCTTCAACAATACCGCCACAATCCACTCACTCAGTTGCACAACTGAGGGCGTATTTCTGCAGCCTGATACCGGTATCAAACTTGCGCAAAAGCCAAATGAACCGCACTGAAACGCACTCCCACAACCGCCCTCCCACAGCCGCCGCACCATGCGCATCATAGACTTACCTCCCGCAAAAAGGTCACCTCACGCCACTCACCAAGCTTTGCAACTGCGCCTGCAGCCCCGCGATGGTAACCGTAGCGTTCCGCAGGCGCGTCCTCAAGGATAACAGCTCAGCATCCGTGGAGGCGAGGTTGGCAGCATAGGAGGCGGCCATGTCCTCCACGTACTGCTCCAGCACCGCTTGCTTGCCCTCCCACAGCCGCACCATGTGCATCAGCGACTTTAGCCCATACAGGTTGCTAGCAGCGCCGCCAAAGCTGCTGCCGCCGCTGCCACCACCACCACTGCCACTGCCGCTGCCGCTGCTGCCAGCAGCGCTTGCGATATTGATACTGCTGCCACCAGTGCTGCTGCTGCCACCACTAATGACTGCAGTGGTGGTGCTGGGACTAATGGCGGAAGCAGGTGCGGCCCTAGTGATCACGCTCGTGGTGGTGGTGGTAGTGCTGCCGCTGGTGCTGCTAGCGCTGCCACTGCCGACCACCGGGGGGGCTTCATTGCTTTCACTGCCACTGCCCACACTGCTGTCTGCTATTGTGCTGCTAGTAAAGCTATCCCCACTCCCGCTGCTCCTACCCGCCCCTTCTGCTGTCTTTATTTCCAAGGAAATCTCCCTACCACCAGCACTGGCCATGCCACCATTATAACCATCCGCACCACTACCTAACGCACTGGGATGTTCGTCCTGGCTTCTGCTGTGAGAACCGGCCTTGGCTTCTGCTGCAGGGTCTAAGCTGCTATTACCACCAGCCATCTCTCCTCTTGCTCCTGAAAGCACCACACCTGCCGCTGCTCCTGGTAACGAGCCTGCAGACGCGCCTGACTCAACTACAGGGTCTTTGCTATCCCTTCCCCCCTTCCTCCCACTGTCCTCTGCCCCTGCCTCTCGCTTACCCCCCCCCTCCATACCAGGCGTGACACCCCCCAGGGCCACATGCAGCTCTGACAGCGTGGGAGGTGTGGGAGGTTTGGGCATTGTGGGAGGTGTGAGAGTTGTTAGAGGCGGTTGCTGGGAAACACTAGACTTGTCCGTACCTGCAGCTTCATTCAACTCCCCCTCTTTCCTTCCCTGTGCAGAACGCAGCTCCACTTCCTCACTCTCCCTTGATCCAAGCTCCTGCCTGGCATTCTCTCTGGCCTCTTGCACCGGGGCCTCTCCACCTTCCCCATCGCCATCCCGAACACCCCTGTCACTGCCACTGCCCTGATTCTCGCCCCCTCTCCTCTGCTCCTCTGCCATACCGTCGCCCTCCCTGCCCCTCTCTCCTCCTTGCTCCCCTCCCTGCTCTGCTCTAGCTTGCTCCTCCAGGTAGCGAAACTTCCTGGCACCTTCTTCATCAGCTGCCTCTGACACCCTGCCTGAAAGTCCCACCCCAGCAGAACCATCTCCACTCGTTACTCTGTTACCGGCAGCAGCAGCAGCACCTGCCGCTCCTGCACTAGCGACACCTGGATCCACACCAGCAGCAGCAGCAGCAGCAGTGCTCGCAGCACTTGCAGCGCCAGCGCCAGCAGCACCGCCAGCAGCAGCGGCACCTTGTGCATTTCTTTGTGTAACAACCCCCTGCTCCGACACCCCATCTGCAGCACCACCCTCCGCCAAGCCTGCACTGGCTCTGAATTCCGCTGTTCTACTGCTGTTGATGGACTCTACAGGCCCAGCACCAGCAGCCCCACCATACTTCCCCTTCCCTTGATCCCCGCCACCACCAACTCCCTCCTCCTCCCCCCCCCCTCCTCCCCTCTGGCTCTCCCCCCATCACCACCAGCGCCAGTCACTGTCCCCTCGGCGTTTGCACCTACTTGCATCCCTGCTGTCTCCCCTTCTGTCTGCTGCCCGTTCTGGCTGTTCTGGCTGCCCACAGCCTCATCCTGAGACGCCCCTCGGGCTGCCCCAGCAGCACTGGTACTCTCACCACTCGCTCCAGCGTTCCGCTCACTTTCACTCGTGACGCCTGCAGCCTTCTGCTTGCCCTGAGCTATCTCTCCACCAGAAGTGCTGCTGCTAATGCTGCTGTCGCTACTAATGCTGCTGCTGCTGCTGCTGCTGCTGCTGCTGCTGCTGCTGCTGCTGCTGCTGCCAATCGCAATCTCCGAACTACAATCACCGCTTCGCTGGGTCGCTCCCTCTCTCCCGCCTTCTCCGCCCCCTCGCTCACCTGCTCTCTCTGCTCCCCCCTGCTCCTCACACCCCTCTGCTACCGCTGCTCGCTCTGCTGCCAGGTCACCGCGCACTATCTGCTCCTCTGCTGCTTCCCTCTCTGTGCTAACGGGTCCCTTGGTGGGGGCAACATCACCGCCAGCAGCCACAAGTGGGGAGGTAGAGGCGGGATTGGCTGCCTGGGACGCCTCGGCAGGAGAGGAAGAATATGAAGCAGCAGAATCTGATGTATCGGCAGCAGCAGCGGTGGCAGGAGAAGGGGAGGCAGCAAGAGGAGGAGCAGCAGGGGAAGGAGGAGTAGCAGGGGGAGGGGGAGCAGCAGAGGGAGGGGGAGCAGGAACAGGAGGAGGAGACGAGGGAGTGGGAATTTGCTGGGCTGGTTGCTCTGCTGACGGTTCCAAGCCTTGATCCTGGGGACCGTCAAGGTGGGGTTCCACAGGTTCGGAAGCCCCAGGTTCGGCGAGCACAGGCTGTGATGAACCAAGTTTCGCAGTCACGGGTTGGTTAACAACCGGTTCTAGGGTAACCACCCGAGCACCAGCCGTCTGAACAACAACCGAACGAGAAACCACCAGAGGAAGCACCTGGGAAACCACCTGAGGAACAACTGGCTGAGGCGCCCCCAGCTCAATCACCACTGGTCTGCTTGGCGCAGCAGCCTGTCTGCCCGCCCCCATCATCCTCGTCATCGCCTCCATCTCCTCTCTGAGCCCATCCAGCTCGTTCACCCCATGCAACCTCACCAGACTCAGCGTACAGAAAAACTCCGCCCCCCAGTGCGACAGCTGCCGCACCATTATATACCGCACTGACTCGCCGAGATCCCCGCTGCCGATTAACTCGAACGCCTGGGGCGTTCGCACGCTCTGCGCCGTGAAGTTTCCCAGAAAGTGCCAGCGGTCCGAGGGGTAGTTCCTGCTGGCCCAGACTTCGAAGTCTTTCGTGGAGGATGCGTAGAACTCGTAGTTCGCGACTACAATGGTTTCTATCCGCGCTAGAAACTCGGAGAGCTCTATAACGAGGAACTTGTTCCCCACACTGCAGGGGATGCGCAGGTACTTGTCTTTATCCTCGTCTAAAACGGCCTGGGGTCGCTTGGCTTCGCTGCTGCAGTCTACTATCTTGGCGCCGTGAATCACGGACGCATAGTTGTACCGACTCTTATCTGTGCCTGTCTGCCTGCGCCTAGGCCACTCCGGTGGTTGACCACCCATTCCGCCGCCCATTCCCCCGCGCATCGCTCCGCCCATCCCCCCCAGACCTGCACTTTCCCCAATCTGCGTTCCCCCCAATGCGCCGTCTGCTATCTGCCCCCCCAGTGAGCCTGCTCCGCCTCCCGTGGGCGGAAACCCAACCCCAGGCGCAGGGAGCGCGGCACCAGTGGGAGCAAGCGCATCCGCGGATACACTGGCAGAAGCTCCGCCAGGCCTTCCGCCTGCTGCGCCTTGCACTGCGCCAACGTACGCGATTCCCGCGGGCGGGATGGGGATGCCCGCGGAAACGACCCCCGCGGGGGGTTCGTTTCCTTCCGCCGCCCTCTGCTTGTCGAAATACTCCCGCTTGTACGCGTCCAGCCCGGGGGGAATCACGCGCACTGGCCGCGCGGATTCCGCGTCCTCGTCATCAAAGAACGAACCGGGTTGACTGGCTTTTGCTGGTGCCGCTGCCGCTTCTACTGCGGCTTCTGTCTCTGCGGCTGCTGTACCTGTCGCTACTGTTTCTACGGCTGCAGCTGCTCCTACATCTATTATCGCTGCTGGCGCGACTGCACGTTCTCCGGATGTCTCTCCTACCGCTCCCACGGCAGCTTCTGCTGCCAGTGGCGCCGCACCCGCATCCAGCGACGCATCACCGTCAATCCGATGCAGACCCTCGATATTAGCTGATCCTGTCGCTTCTAACGAGGTCTCCACCGGCCTCCCTGCTCCTGCCACCTCGTCCGCTACCGAACGTAAAGGCTCCTTAACCCCACCGGTCTGCTGCTGCTCCGCAGAGTCAGTCTGGCCTAGTCGCTCCTCAATCGTCGCCGCATCGTCGTGACTCCGACTCCCCTTCTCCGCGCCTGTCGACTGCTGCTTGGCCCCTGAAAGCCGCTGCTCGGCTCGCTGACGTTCGTCGCCGTCAATCCCGAGGGAACGCTCTTGAAGCGCAGGAGGAGGAGGATCAGAGGGGATCATTGAAGGGGGTTGTACAGGGGAAAGGGTTGCGGAAGGGTGTTCAGAAAAATCTCGACGGCATGAGCGAACATGAGACTCCGTGCTGCTAGCGCAGCTCTCGTACCCAAAAAGGAGGACTTGCAGAAGACTTAAGGACGTCGTGAAAGCCTGTAGCGGGAGAGCTTGTAACGGGAGAGCCAGCGGCGATCTGTAGTTTTCGCGGAGCATGCTACCTTCGCCGCCAACTCCTGGTACTCCTCCCACGCTCGCCGCTGCGCCCCCCGCAGCGGTAGAGCAAGCCGCTCTGCCTTGCTCGGCGCATGCCTCTGCTCGGCCGCGCTGCTGTCTCTGCTGCTGCTGCTGCTGCTGATTCTGATGATGCCATAAACTCGAATTCGAGTCGTAGTTGCCGCCGAGAAACGCGGGGGAGAGCTGCACGTCGCCCCAGCACAGCAGAAGAATTAAGGTTAAAACCAGACTGGCGGTTCGACCGAGGGAAACGACCGCGACCGACATTCTGGCGGTGGATTTCCGGCCAGAGGTAAGGTCTGTGGGGCGAAAGCGCAGCCGCTCCATCGTGACCATCCATAACCAGATCGGCTGTGCTGTTTCTAGAGGGAAGAAGACATACTGTACTGGAGACTAGAGGCTGAAACACAAATTCGCTGTGTGTGGGGAAAATGCAGCAGGTGCTGCACGCAAGATCGTGGGGTGGTGGTGGTGTGTGCTGCTGCTGCGCACAAAAGATCAAGCAGCAAGCAGCAAGCAGCAGGCAGGGAAGACCCGCGTCAAGGGAGTGAAGAGAAGAGAAGAGAAGAGTCACCCAGACCCGGATCCAACTCTCCCGAGGGATGGGGTGGAGTGGTGGTGGAGTGCCCGAGGGAGGAAGCTGAATGGTGTGTGCTGGCGGCACATGAATGGGTGGAAGCAAGATTGGAGGAATGGGGTGCCTTGGGATTTGTGCGGCGGTGATTCTGTGAAGTCGGAATTCCTTTTCATGGCGAATACGGGAGTTTCCCCCCGTATTTCGGGAGGTTGTTCTTGCAGTGCAAAGGCAATCTTGTCCAGGCCATTGCTTCACTGGAAGCAAAATTCCAAAACTTGCCTAACATGAAGCCACATTTTCCGTCCAGTTTGACCACCTCAACTTGCGACGAAACGTGCTGGCAAGAGTAACTGATGTGAAATTTTCAAAAAGGGCAGTCACAAACTTTTGCAATTTGGCGGCACTCACGGGGATGACATGGGTGTGTCCCAGAAGCCAACCACCATGGGGAGTGTGACGCGACCTTGGCTGTTCTCACTTTCATATGTGCGTGTAACGCAGGATGTTGGCGAAAGAAGCGCTCGCCATTCGCGAACGCGTAGGAGTGTCTTATGCGTCAGGAACTTCAAAAGCGAGCCCGTCACATAATATCACCTCAAACTGCAATAAATAATCAGCCTCCAGCAATGAAGAATTACAGCACTAAGTTTTCCTCTACAGCAAGCAAGCTCTAATCCACACCCAGCTGACGCAGCCCAGAAATCTCATCCATTTGTTGACGTGGCCTTCCCATAATTGAGGAGCGCTGTCATGATCAGCCCAATGGCGTCACCAGGTCCAATGTGGTTTTGTAATTGGATGTGGATGACACAGATTTCCGCCAGCGTCAGCTCATCCGCATAAGCCACCCCTCATCCGCACAGAACACCGCTTGCTCCCTGCACCCTCCCCATCCCTCCCCACTCTCCCCTCCCCCACTCCCCCACTCCCCCACTCCCCCCACCCCTCATTTTCCCCTCCCCTTTCCCTTCCTCCTCTGTTCCCCCATGCCCCACCCATTGCTTGGCACACCAGCTCATACATTTCACAGCAGCCATCCTTTCCACTCCCTCTTTTCCAGCCATTCTTTCTGGAATCCGTACCACCTGCTGTAGGAACCTCAGCTAAAAAACCTTAGGTTAGGTCGAAATAGTATCCTCGGATTAGCAGTCAGCCTGATCTTGACCTCTTACAAATTTGTTCTGTTTTAGTGCTCATGATCGGAGGATATTAGTTGCTTTTTCAATAGCTGACTCAACAGCTAGATTTTAGTTTCTTCGCTTAGACATGGCGTCAGCAAACTTTTTCTCCCTCCTGGGGGGAGACGACTCAGAGGATCCGGGAGTTTTCTTGGCTCGCGCTGAGGAAGAACAAGCCAAGAAAGCGGCAGCAGCTCCTAAGAAAGGTATTCGTTGATGTACCAACCTTTTCAGCCTCCTCGTCACGATTTCGTACATTACTGCACGAATGCATCAGATTGATCTGATATTTTCCTGAAACCTTGCTCTCTGTGCTCTTGGCGTTCCGGTTGTTCCCGTCCTTCCAGATTCCAAGCCTGCTGCTAAGCCAGCTGCTCCCGCGAAGCCCACACCTGCCGCTCCCGCTGGCGGTCGCGGGACCGGCGCAGGAAGAGGCGGAGGACGCGGAGGAGGCGGACGCGGAGGAGGACGGGGGGGGTCGTATTCCGCGGAGGGGGGCCAGGACGGCGGACAGCCGTACAGGAACCGGCAGCTGCGCGGAGAGGACGGCGAGGTGTCCGGCGGAGGCGGAGGCGGTGGTGGCGGCGGCGGTGGTGGTGGTGGCGGCGGTTATGGCGGTCGCGGTCGTTCTGGCGGAGGTTACCGGGGAGGCGACGGGGAGCGGAGGGCGCCTCGTCGGGAATACGACAGGCACAGCGGCACCGGCCGTGGGTGAGCTTTGAGTCGACTCTATACGGCAGGCACAGCGGCACTGGCCGTGGGCGAGCGCGTTGTCACTAGGGGGATGCTTGAAAGTTTTGAGTAATGTGGCGGTTGGGTTCGGTTATCAGAGTCATGTGGGTTTCTTCGTCGTCGATCAATCTGATGGTTTAAAAATTCCGCGGATTCCCTTAACCGTTTTCTTACCGTTTCCCTCGTCGCATTGTGTTCGCTTGCAGCCACGAGATGAAGCGCGACGGTGCCGGACGAGGCAACTGGGGCCGAGCTGACGAGGTGCCGCAAACGGGGTAAGTCCGTCAGCTTCTGCTGGCTGCCGGCAGCTTCTTCTGGTTGTCGCAGGCGGTTCTTGGGAATTCTCAAAACGCTGGGTTGTGAGGTTTTTCTAAAGTGCTCCCTGGAATTCTCTAAAACCACCTGGGACGAGCAGAGGAGGTGTTACAAGGACGCAAATCTGTCACACTTCCGATGGTTGTATCCCTGTTTTCCACCGTTTCCTTTTTTTTGTTTCGCCTCCATCCTTTTCCATTGTTGCTGACAAGTCTGCGCCTCTCGAGCTCCGTGTTTGGGCCTGCAGTGGCAGATGATGTCGCTCGTCAAGAGCTTAAATATACGTTGAAAAGAGCGATTGCTCTCTAGTGAGCACAACCTGTACCTGATGCTACTTCGTGCTCTAGACTGTTCAATAAAAAAAGCTGTGCACGTAGCCGTGCTCCTGTAGCCGTGCTGCTGGTTGCCGTGCTCCTGACTTTTACAGAAGTTGCTTTCACAGTGTGTAAGTAGCTTAGTTCTGAGACGTCTCAAAAGTTTTTCTGAATTTGCCAGTCACAGGTCACCTATTTTCAGTTTGTGGTTGCTTTCATGGGTGCTGTTTCCACGAACCTGCAGTAGCGCGTGATGTCGCTCGTTGGAGCTTAAATATACGTTGAGAAGCGCGCTCGCGTTTCAATGAGGTCAATTTTACGCTGATGCTACTGCTAGCATCGTCTCGCTAGCGTCGTCTCACATGCTTCGCCTCGTTTGCCTCAGCATTTTGAAGCCCAACGGAACGTCTGATCTGGTGACTGTTGTTGAGGAGTTGGCGCCGTTGGCCCACAGATTCTTTTCCTTATGTGCTGCCCCCGTATGTCTTCCAGTGAGCAGGAGGAGGCGGGTGAGGAGGCGGAGACAAAGCAGGCCAACGGCACGGCGGAGGGGGAGGCCGCGCCTGCTGAGGGCGACGCTGCTGCGGGAGAGGCTGCTGCTGAGGCCGCCCCTGCTGAGGAGGAAGACAAGGTGAGGCGGGGGGCAAGGGTGAGGTGAGATGCGCATCAGCTGTAATGTGCAGCATTGCGGGTTTTCAGTCGACTCGAAGCCACCGCTGCTGAGGACAGGACGATGAGGTTTGCATCGTTTGCTGTAGGCGTGGCGCATCAGGCCACCCGCTCTATCCACACATTCTCGTTTCTTGTGTGCATGGTGACGTGTCCTGCGCTCCGCCCTCCACCTTCGTAACCCCCCTCCACCACCGTACTTTCCCACTTGCACGCATTTTTTATGTGCCTCACTCGCTGCCGTCCGATCTAGCACGACTCCGCTTACTCCCTCCCACCGTTTCCCCCACCCGTTTTGAGGCGCCTCAAAACTAGACGCTTTCTCCCTCCCACCCTTTCCCCCACCCGCCCTCATTCCCCTCCCCGCCCCGTCCGCCTCCTTCCTGATGACCAAGAAACGACTCGAGTACGAGAAGGTGAGCGAGGAGTGGCGCAGAGCCCTGTGCCCTGGGACACGACTCTAGTACTTACCTCGCTTCCCCCCCTCTCCCCCTCCCCCCCCCCCCGTCCCCCTTTCCCCCTTAAACCCCTTCCCACTCCCTTCCCGCGCGTTTCCCCCCACAGGGGATGACTCACTAGAGGAGTACGGGGAAGTCGCGCGAGGAGAAGCGCAAGGCGCTGTATGTTGCCTCACTACTACCTCTTCCCTACAAACCCCAAACCACCCCCCCCCCTCTCCCTCTCCCTCTCCCCCCCCCCCCAACCCCCACGCCCGTTAAACCCCTCCTAAACCACGTTTCTCTCGTCCCTGCAGGAGATGACTCTGGAGTGCGAGAAGGTGCGCCAGGAGAAGCGCAAGGCACCGCACTCACTCCTTTTCCACCTTCCCCCTCCCCCCGCCCGCCCGCCCGCCCGCCCGCCTGTCCGCCCCCCTTACACCCCTCCCCAACCCCCCCCCCCAGGAGATGACCCTGGAGGAGTACGAGAAGGTGCGCGAGGAGAAGCGCAAGGCGCTGGCGGCGAGCCGCACGGCGGAGGCCCGCAAGGTGGAGGTGGACGCGGAGATGGCGAAGATGGCGGTGCACAAGAAGAAGGACGCGGACGAGGCGGACGACATCTTCGTCAAGCTCGTGAGTCGCCCTCTCTTCTCTGGTGTTCGACTCGCTCTGTCCCTCGGCTGAGTCGACACAAGAGGCGCTTCAGACGCCAAGCCGCACCTGGAGGGGGGTCGCAAGGTGGAGGTGGATGAGGGGATGGCGAAGATGGCGAAGATAGCGGTGCACAAGAAGGTGGCCGTGCTCTTGTCTTTCCTACCTGACGCTGCAAACGCCAAGCCGCACCTGGGAGGGGGGGGGGGGGCAAGGTGGAGGTGGATGAGGGGATGTCTTACCTACCTGTGCGCTTCCCCTGTCGGAGGCTGCCGACCAGGCTGGGGCAACTTCTTACCTTGCTTCCCTCTTCCCCCTCTTGTTCCGCTCTTCCCCCTCTTGTTCCCCTCTTCCCCCTCTTCTACCCATCTTCCCCTTTTTGTTCCCCTCCCCCTCTTCCCCCTCTTGTTCCTCTCTTCCCCCCCTTGTTCCGCTCTTCCCCCTTTTGTTCCCCTACTCCCCCTCTTCCCCCTCTTGTTCCGCTCTTCCCCCCCTTGTTCCGCTCTTCCCCCTCTTGTTCCGCTCTTCCCCCCCTTGTTCCGCTCTTCCCCCCCTTGTTCCGCTCTTCCCCCTCTTGTTCCGCTCTTCCCCCCTTTGTTCCGCTCTTCCCCCTCTTGTTCCGCTCTTCCCCCTCTTCTACCCATCTTCCCCCTCTTGTCCCCCTCGCGCAGGCTGCTGACAAGGCTGTGAAGAAGCGGGAGAAGACTGAAGACGAAGACAGGCCCAAGGTAAGCAGTGCCAGCTCACGTATGAATAAAGGGTATCTGTTTTTCACATGCCAATGCACAAGCGCAACTGTTTAACCTCCATCAGTGCAGCATTTCATTTAAACCCGAGGCCTCTCCAGGTTCCATGTAAACTTTGGGTGAACAATAGCAAGCCATTGACAAAGGGCCGTGCATCCTACTCACATGGTTGGGCCGTGCATCCTACTCACATGGTTTTCTCTTTTTGAAACCTCATTTCCTCCCCCCCTGCCTTCCTCTATTTCCTGTTCCCAGCAGAAACATCAATGATTTCTGTAAGCCCACTGACCACAGCACCTTAGACCCCTGGCGCTCACTCTATAATTATTCGTTCCTCCCCTCCCCCCCTCCCCTCCTTCCCCCCCTCCTCTTCTGGGTTCTCCTATCAGACTGTGAACATCAATGACTTCCTCAAGCCCACCGACGGCAGCACCTTCAACCCCCGGCGCTCAGGCGGGCGCGGTGGCGGCAGGGGTGGCCGTGGTGGCGGCCGAGGGGGGCGTGGAGGCGGACAGCAGCAGCAGCAGCCAGTAGAGATCGCGGATCAGACGCAGTTCCCCTCGCTGGGTGCCGCTTGATTGCTCTCGGTTTGGGAGAACTGGTGGCGGTGACGGCAGGGGCTCTGGTGGGGGAGGAGGGTGAGGGCGCCGAGGGAAGCAGCAGCAGCAGTAGCAGCAGCAGCCGGTACCCAATGCATAACAGACACAATTCCCCTCCCTGGGTGTGACTGGTCTGTGCTTCAAAAATGTTGGTACTGATCACGGTACCTTAGTGCAGCCATGATTTCTCTCTTTCCAAGCACAGTTATCTTTTTCCTCTCTTCAAATTGCGTCCTATGGATTTTTGTTTTTGCGTAGCTGTCAGTATCCTGTTTGGTGTAGCATAGATAAGCTGCAATTAGTGTTGTCACCTTTCATGAAAGGAATAGATCAGGGCTCTTTGTAGAGCCACTCCCAGCTGCACCCACCCACCTCCTTAGCACCATTGTTGCATGCAGCCCTGCCCTGCCCTGCCCTCTCTGCCACCATTTAGTGGTATGCCCATGTTTGGATCGGAGCTGACATGGGTAGGTATTGCAATTTACAAGACTCCCCTAGTTATTTATCAGCGTACCGGTTGACCGATGTTGGGCTGAGAAAAGCCCTTAGGATCTTTCCAGAGACTAAGTCCCAGTTGTAGAATGAGACTTGATAGTGCAGCGGAAGTTGAGTAGTTGGACCCTTGTACTAGTATATGAGAACAAGTGATTGATTAAAGGAAACAAGCATACATACCATCCGTGCAGTTGTAACGGTCGGTCGCAACCTCCAGTTGCGACCCTTCGAGTCCCTTCGCGTTCTTTGTCCACCCCCTCGTGTAACCTCCGTTGATTCGCGTACCCGTTACGATCTTCCTCGAGTGCAGTGTTACACTTCAGAAACGCTTAAGTCCTTTGAGATATTTCCAACACTCCCCTTCGTTTCTGGAGTGCTGACGTGTTCAGATCCGGTGACGTTTGTCTGCCCAGTCAGCAGCGTGCAGTAATCGAACTTTGCCTTCGCCAATTTCTTCGTCAGATAGTCTGCGGCCATTTCTGTCGTAGGATAGTAACTGAGTTGAAGTCTCCCCTTCATCGAGCTTGTTGAGGTAGAGGGTGTCGAGGTTGTTGCTATCGAGAGGATTTTCTTCATCGAGCGGGACTGGCACGGAGCAGTATGGGAGTGGTCCGGCAGCTTCTGAAGCTCCAGGTACGTTTTCTTCTGCTGCGTCAGCTTCGGCAGCACGGTCAGCGAAGGAGCGAAGGCCTGCGACACTGTCGGTGGGGTCTTCTGTGTTGGCGACGTTGTCCAGGTTATGTTGCAGCGTGAGTCGTTCGTAGAAGATCACATCACGTGACGCCACGGTATTTTTGTCTTGTATGTCGAGGATTTTCCATGCGTGAAAATGTTTAGCGATGCCGAGGTGTAGTCCCCACCGAGCTCGTTGAGTGAAGCGTCCTGCTCGGGCTGTGTGGGGTCTGTATTGTACCATGCAGCCGAAAACTCGAAGTAATTTTGTGCTGCCCCTTTTTCGTGTCCACAGCAGGTGCGGTGATGCGTTGTTGGGAAGCGATGACGACGACAACAGATTGTGCAGGTGGACTGCATGTGTCATCGCGTCTGGCCACAGTGTGCTGGGCAGTCTCATCCCCAGGAGCAGCTTTCTCATCGTCGTCTGTAAGGTCCGGTTCATGCGTTCTGCGACCCCCTGCTGCTGGTGAGCGTAGGGAAGAGACACCAGGCGTTTGATTCCTCTTTCTGCCAGATAGGTCCTGAAGCGTTGTGACTGGTATTCCAGTGCACCGTCTGACTGGAAGCTCTTGAGCTTGGTTCCTGATTCTCGTTCGGCAATGGGGAGCCATGTCGTGAAGGCGTCGAAGACTTGATCGCGCGTCTTAAGGTTGTAGTGCCAGACGTATCTTGTTGCTGCGTCGATAAACGTGATGACATAGTTGAAGTCGGCTTCAGTGTCGTCTCGAGGCATGTTTAAGATGTCGCTGTAAATTTTTTCCATCGGTGTGTATGTAGGTGCACTCGGATTGTGATGTGATGGAAAAGGTTGGTGGGGAAGATCTGCTTCGGGGCACGTGAAGCACCGTGCGCGAGGTCGTCGAAGTTCTTGACCGCTCGTTGTAAGGAGAGCGTTTCGTTCTAACACTTCGGCTTGGATGGTTTGCAGTATTGTACTATTTGCAGGATGTCCGAGGCGTTGGTGCCAGATGTCGTCGGGAGCGCGATGGCCGGGCGAGCGGTGGTATATGTCGGTGTTGGAGAAGAACGCGACGACCGTGGCGGGACTTCGGCAGACTTCTCGTGTGATGGGCATAAGTTGATCTGCTTCGATTGGCGGTCCTCGGATCGCTGGTGGTGGTACTCGGCTGGGTCCTGCTGCTGCTACTGCAGGTGATGGTTGGGAAGGAACACTTGTTGGTACTTGCCTTTCTTGTCTGATGACTGCTAACGCTCGTGTTCTCTCTGCGGCAGGTATTGTGTTGGAGTACCAGAATCCATCGGGGTTGAAGTCGGGGTCAAGATCCGGCGGGTGTGTCCAGGCGGCGAACGACACGATCCCATCGCTGTCGGCAGTACCACGGTCGGGAACGAAGTCCAACACGAAGACGCCGGACTTCAGGAGAGTACGACCGATGAAGAGGCCGCCCTTCCCGTGGTAAAGGCGAAACTCGTTGGAGTCCGAGTCGCACTCCAGGTGAATCCCTTTTGCCATTAGCTGGCTGACGCTTAGCAGGTTGTATCCCAAGTTGTCGACGATTAGGACCTTGTTGAGTTGCAGGATGACATTTGTTTCCATGGACTGTAACTGAACCACCCCTTGATTGTTTGTTTTCAGGTTCTCGTTGTTGGCGACGGTGATGACGTCACGGTTGAGGCGTCGCTCTTGTTGCACGAAGCGTCCGGAAGAGCACATGTGTTGACCGCAGCAACTGTCCAAGAACCAGGTGTTTCGCCCGGTGGGTTCGGCGTTGGCGACTGCAGCGTATGTCGGGTTGACCTGAAGTCCTTGTGAGCGCGGTGGTGGGAGTTCTTCTTCGTCTGGCGCGTAAGTGGGTGGTGATCCGGGTGCGCAGTTGTCGATGTGTACCATGCAGTTGATGATGTTCGGTGTCCCTTGTGCAGATGTGGAAGAACGCCTTGGAGGGCTTTCTTGAGTGGAAGCGACTTGTGGGTCTACTGGACGATAAACACGAGGACGTGTGCAGTTGACTTTGGAATGTCCGGATGTTTGACAGTTGTGGCAGAACGGTGGTACGATGGTGAGTCCTCTGTTATCGCGTTGATCTTGCTTGCCGCGTCGATTGTAGTTGTTGTCGTTCCTTCGTTGAGTGTAGAAGACTAACTGCTGCTGCTTCCTTGGTTGTCTTTCTTCGAACAGGTCCATCTCCTGTTGTTCAGCATGAAGCTCGGCGCAGAGGTGCATCTCCGAGATCCTTCCGTGGGCGCGAAGAAGCGAGCATGTGGTTCTCCATTCTGGCCCGAGCCCGGCGAGGACAAGCGTCACGAAGCTTTCTTCAGTGATTGTTCCTCCGCACCGAAGCAGGCGGTCGCGGAGGGTCTGGCAGCGACTCATATACTGCATCGTCTTTTCTCTGGTCTTCATTTGTATTGTTGTCAGCTGTCGCATGAGTCTGCTTTGTGTCACACTGTCGTTTGCTTGATAGAGACACTTGAGATGATGCCATGCGAGTTCCGCGGAGTTTCCATAGCTCCGTTACGTTCTGATGCTTTGCTGTTCTTGTGGTGACAGGTTCCGCAGGAGAACTGTGTACGCCAGGAGCGAGTGATAAGTAAATATTTCTTGCTCCTTTGCAGTGCCATTGCTTGGAAATGGCAGGGACCCGTTGAAGTATCCCAGGAGATGCGCAGCCTCCATCAGCAGCTCGAACTCAAAGCTCCAGGTAAAGAAATCGTGTCCGTTGAACGGTGAGGATGTCTGTAACTTGATTACGTGTGAAAACTGCGCCTGGAGACTCAAAATCTCGTTTGGTGTCTGTTGTGATGCAGCTGCTGTTGGTTGGGCACGGGGCGGCATGAACTCGAACGTCCCCGGTGAAGAGTGATAAGGCGCAAAGGTAGGCGCTTGATTGTGTCGCCCGAACGATGAGTTGTCGAGGCTCATCGGCGCTAGTCCCATGTTTCCTCCGTTGCTCTGTGTTGAATGTGCAGGTGTCCTTGTCTGCTGCTGCTGGTCGAAGTGCGACATGAAGCTGAAGAACCTTTCCATAAGGTTCGGATCCACGCTTGAAGAGGGTGATGGGGTCACTATTTCCGGTGCTCTTCCTGTTGTTTCTTGAGCAGCGCCGGTCTCGGTTTGCAGTCCTGAAGTATGCAATCCAGAGTTGCCGGGTTGAGTGTCTTGGGTGCTGGGTGAGCCCGTAGAAACTTTCTTGCCCTTGCTGTCCATGACTTGTAATCAATGAAGTCGTTGAATTGCAGAGATTGTAGATAGAGCGTAGTTGCTGGGAGTTTGGTCTCTGACCAGCTCTCATACAATGTTGGGCTGAGAAAAGTCGGCCGAGGTGACTGACGTTGCGCGGCCGGCTGTCGCCCGACGACGCCGCCACGGCAGCCTTACGACGCCGCCACAGCGCGGCGTCGCAAGACGTCGATGCTACGACGGTATGCACGGCGCCGTCGCAGCAGTGTGGCATCGACGCCATTCGTCACGGCGCGACGGCACGATAGGAACGGGCATGGCCGCCACGGCGGGACGGCAGGAACGACCGACGAACGAGTACGCAGCGGAAGGCACGGAGGGGAGCAGGCCCAGGAAGGGCGTCCCGCTCTCGATACCATGTCAGAAACCAAACTAGGTTTTAGGAAGGAACAAAGGCCGCCATGAATGTGGCAGCGGGGTTTAGCTAGGAGGTGGAAGAGTGTGTCGAGAGAAAAGGGGATTGATTAGGAAGAGAGAGGAGTACAAGGAGGGGTTTTTACCCTCTACAGAAAGGTTCAGTAACAACCTACCAAGCCTATATTAAATTATAACATATATAATTTTAACAACCTGACCCTAGGGCCAATACGCCAAGGCACCCATCGTGAACAGAAATAGTAAAACGACCTACGCCACCCCACCTAAAACCGTACGTGCTACTCGATAATCCATTTTTCCCGTAGTGAACCGCTCTTATTCGTCGTAGTCCATATTTGCGAGTCGCGGATTTGGAGCATAGAGAATACCCCTTGTACAGCATAACCTAGCCACAGGTTCAGATAAGTGGTACAGTACAGTGTCGCACTGTATGGCGGATGTCGGATCTCTTTTGTTTATCATTGCTCAGCAGGAAAGGCGGTTTCTACGCCGGCGTTCAGTTGAATGGGGTCAGCATTCGCCGGCCTAAACATCTCATTGGTGGACGACTTTAGTGCCCGTTTCTTGTGCTGGGATGCGATCATGCGACGCGCTCGCAACCGTTCAGTCAGATCAGTGGTGGTGGTGGCATCGCATGGCCGGTGTGACACAGAACAGAATCCACGACTGGTTGTGTGACGTGTCGTGTCGTCGAGCTGTACTGTAACCAGTTGGGTGTGAAGTGTCGTGACGTCAACGATTTTCGCTCGGGTTACAGTATTCTGTGACCGAGCCTGGCCAAACTTTCTTTGAGTTTCACGTTGCCTGTCGTGGCTTCGCAATTGCCTGGGCTTCGTGTTGGCCCCTTAGAGCGCGGTACATGAGGGCAAGGGTCAGGATCGCAGCAGGGTCACGGTGTATTAATTTCGCTTTACCGAACTGGAAACTTTTGGAACATATCTGCCAACGTATTAGATCTCTTTGCAACCCGTGAACACTTGAACCTGAGGTCGCGACCCTTGGTTGTGACCCTGCAAAACCGTCTCATATATCGCGCTCTCACCTCACCAACAGGAACCGCGTCACAAAGAACCGCATCTTCGAAAGGCGAAACAAGAGGCGACGAGATCGTCTTAGGGTTGCGGAGCATTTCATGATGAGACTATATTATACATAAAATGTTTTATTTCCATCACAAAAAGCATTTAATTTTTATTTCACAAACTTGAAAAAAATACCAGCCCGATCGATTGCAATAGGTTGCTCCGCAACGCAAAAAAAAACAAGCACTGAACTTCGCTAAGAGAGGAGACTGGAGCACATAAGAGCAGCCCTGACGATATGGGCGATTCGAGGCGCTTTCGCACATAGCCATGTAACAGAGCTGTCGAGCGGGAGCGGGTACAGTATTTGTTTGGGCAAGATTGAGAGGAGGGCCGGCCAAAGGGAAACTGCAGGTATGTTGGCGAAGTAGCTGCTGCGAAGCCGCGCCTTTTCGCTTTGCGATTCCGACCAATTTGTTCTGCAGCCCTCGAGGGCGAGAAAAAAACGGCAGGTTGAGTTGGAGTCCAGCCAGACAAGTCCTGAGAGCCACAGCAGAAGCGAACAGAAGCGAGCACTGGGGAGGGGAGGGGAGGGCCAGGCTATGGCCAGCAATACAGTGCAGTACAGGAGAGTCCTTGACATGACGTGTGCGGTAGGGAATGAATGCCTGCAATGAATGGCCTGGCCTTCTACGAGACGGCTACGCAAGTGGAGGTCAGGCGTCCTCTGTTCACACGAAAGCACGACGGTCGATTGTGCTGACTCTGCGTGGCACGGGATGGGCCAGCAACTAGTCCAGTAGATCGCCACGCCATTGACGGCGATGCCTTGCCTTCTCTTTCCTGCTGTCCTCATCGTAGGCCGCAATCATTGCTCGCGCATAGTGCGCTGTCGTCCATAGTAACTGTGGATCTTCACTGAAGCGTCTTGCAGTGGTACTCATTCGCGCGACGATAGCGCGCCGATAGCGCGACGACAGCGCGACGATAGCGCGACGATAGTGCGCGTGTCGCGTTTCGGTCTCGGCAGCGAGCGTTTAGCCCATTCTCTTGAAGGGGTGGCTCTGCAGCTCGCCTGTGCGACAGTCGCGCCGTCGGCGTCGCTGGCGCGAGTGGGCTCGCGACGAGCTTGCGACGAGTTCGCACAGCCCGGGAGATAATTCCCGGATCGTCAGCATCAGGAAGCAAGAATTGGAACATCGGCGCTAGCACAGTAGGAGTGGAGTAGGGTGTGCCTTCGAGGCGCCTCTTGCTAGCAACGTCACATCACGGCTGTAGGATCAGTGACAGCCTGTGTGCAACTAGCAGCCGGGCTCATCGCGCTGTGGGTGCTAGCACCCAATAAGGGCGCTGTGTGCGCTAACACCCTCCATGCCCCGTAGAGTTCGCCAGTGGACGTCCGCAGATGCAAGTAGTACGGGCGTCGAGGGGCAGCGGTAGACCATTCTTGTCATCAGGCTTGGAGAACTTCTAGGCGAGAAACCCGCGAATTTACGAGAGCCGCCAATTTCTAGCATCCTCCTGCAGAGCAAGGCGATGAGAGACCCTCACCCGCCAGCTACTATTTTTCAGGCGCCTCAAAAATAGAGTCGTACGAGAGCCGTTTCTAGCGCCCTCCTTCCAATCAAGGCGATGAGAGACCCGAACCCGCCAGCTTCACCCTAGTCCCGATCGGCGATCCAGTTCAGGAAACGCTGTTGATCCGACGGCCACGCGGGGCTTACGACGCGAAGGGGCTGGGCTCGCTCGTAGATCAGAAACGTGACTATGCTCATCTCCTTGGTAGATCTCAGACGTCAATTCGTCCAGCGCCGCCAACTCGGCGGAATCGGATTCTAGTACCACCTGGTCGATCGTAACCAATTTCCAGTTCGGCAATTTCCGGTTCGGCAATTTACGGTTCGGCAATTTCCGGTTCGGCGATTTCCAGTTCGGCCCAAACTGGGTTTCATCTTTCCCCATGAGTTCCCAACGGCTCTTTCTCACCTGCTTCAGCCAATCCCCGCAAGCCACGCTCGCTGATACGCCCCCGGATTCGCCGACGGCCGCCATCGTCGCCGAGCGACCGCCATGCGACGACTCGAACGCGTCGCCTACGGATGTGCGACAGCGGGACGCGACAAACACCATTGAGGCTCAAATGCACAGCGAACCCCCCGTCGCAGAGGGGGTAGCTAGTAGTAGCAGTGCGAGTACTAATATGGACGAGCCGTTAGCTTTTAGAGAGTATGACGTGGATTGGGTAACCACCGCCACGTGTCAGTTCTCCAAGCAGTCTGTCGTAAGCCAAGGATGGGACTCCACAGTTTTTTTAATACCTGGGCAAAGCGCCGCAGGCGCCGGATGGGGTTCGGCAGGAGGGTCGGCAGGAGGCCCGGCACGAGGCTCGGTGGGAGGGACAAGCGGCATGAGGGTGAAGAGATTTGGCGCGCAAGGCTGCTCGTTGTCGAAGGAAGCCGAAGCTGCCTTTCAGGTACGGATGAATCCAGGCTGGGATTATAATCGGAAGCACACCAACATGGCTAATAATTTTTGAAACCCTAAACCCTAGCCTTCATGCAATGACCTAATTCCCTTGATTCCGCCTCTCTCTCACCCTTCGCATATCTCTCCTCCCCCCTCCTCCCCACTCCCCCCACACCCCCCCCCCCCCGACACTCCCCCCTCTTCCACACACACCCCCTCCGCACTTCTTGCCTATCAGGAACACGCGAGTGCCCTCTCCCGCCTCTCCCACCCCTCCCTCCTCCCCCTCGTTGGCTACTCCCCCTCCCCCATGCCCTCCCTCCTCTTCTATAATGCCCCTGCCCCCACTCTCCCTCACTCCTCACACATCACCGCCCCCACTCACCCGACTGCTGTGCCTTCTGCTGCCTCTGCTGCTGGGTCGGCTGCTGTCTCCGCTGCTGCATCGGCTGCTGCATCGGCTGCTGCTGCTGCTGCTGCTGCTGCTGCTGCTCCAGTGATTGCTACAGTAGCCACAGAGCCCCTTCCCCTTCCTTGTCCTCTCTCCCTCGCTCTCCCTCACACCACCGCCACCACCAACGGCGGTGATGCCACCGGGGGATTGGCTGGAGAATCCTCACCGTCAATTCCGCAGCCCAAGCGGCTGAGAAGCAGCAGCTTTGCAAGGAACCGCCTGCCGACTATCCCCAGTATAGGCAGCATCAGTAGCAGCATAAGTGGCAGCCTAAGTGGCAGTGGGAGGTCGCTGCTAGGGGGGAGTGGAAGATCGGGCACAGGTGGGAGTGGAAGGGCCATAGGAGGGAGTGGGAGGTCGCTTTTAGGAGGGAGCGGAAGGGCGATAGGAGGAAGTGGGAGGTCGCTTAGCGGTGCTAGTGCTGGGTGCTTCTCTGGTAGCAGACAGGATAGTGATGATGATGGTGATGGTGATGGTGATGAGGACGAAGAGGAGGAGTCGTCGCCGGAAGACAAGAGTGGAGAGAGTGAGGGGGAGGGAAGGGAGAAGGAAGAGGGGAGGTTGAGCGGTGACAGTGGCAGTAGTGCTGCTGGTCCGGAGATTCGTGCGTCCGGAAATCCGCCCACACTCGACGACTCGTCCACACAAGAAGCCTCTAGCATACGTCAGGAGGCTAGCATTTCAACCAGACCGGGAGGGGTTAAGGAGAGAGGAGCAGGTCCCAGTTTTTCTGAGCGAGGAGCGGATTTGGCAAGTTCTGGAGAGACGGCGCTGCAGGCGGGTGCAACCAGTGGTAGAGGGGATGCTATCTATGGCAGTAACGAGTCTGCTTTTGGAGGGGATGAGCGTGGCTTGCTTGCTGCTCCGAAGCCCATTGGTCGTGTCTCTGCTGACCTACTTGCTGCTGCAGCAGCACTAGAAGCTGCGGCCGATGATGACAACGATGGTCGCTCTAAGGGTGGCAATGATGATGATGGCAATGATGGTGATGGGAATGATGATGATGGGAATGATGGTGATGGCAATGATGGTGATGGCGACAGTGACTCTGACAATGGTGGTGACAGCAGTGGTGCGGCAACTGGTACAGCAGATTCGCATCGCCTCTCCCCTTCCTCCTGCTGGCCGCACCTCCCCGCCGCCCCCTCCCTCTCTCGCTCCCTCACTCGCTCCTTCTCCCCCTCCTCCGCTCTCTTCTCTCGCTCCTCTCGCTCATCCCGAAGGGACAGAGCAGCAGAGCAAGCAGCAGAGCAAGCAGCAGCCCCCTCTTCATCACTCCCTCACCCAACCTCCGCAGCCGCCTCCACCCCTTTCCTAACCAGCCCCCCAGGCTCGGGCTCCGCTGCATGCTTTCCAGGCCCAGCAGGCTTGGCAGGCGCGGAAGAGGCTTGGGAGGGCGTGAAGAGGAGGGTGGGGGGGTGGGAGGCGCGGCTGGACGTGCTGGTGCAGGTGGCGGGGGGGCTGGCGTACCTGCATAGACAGGGGGCCGTGCATGGGTCTCTGGGGCCGGCTAACATCCTGCTGTGGGAGAAGCGTGCGGGGTTGAGACATGAGGGCGTGAGGAGGGACGTGCTAGTGCCTGCTGCTGCTGCCACTGCGGCTGATGCTGCAGGGGATGGTGGCTTACATGGCTTGGATAAAGACTCGCTTTGGACTGTGGAGTGGGTGAGTGCAGGAGAATCAGCAGCAGGAGCAGCGCCAGGAGCAGCAGCAGGAGGATCAGCAGCAGGAGCAGCGCCAGGAGCAGCAGCAGGAGGATCAGCAGCAGGTGGAGGCACAAGTTCAGCAGCCGCGGGGGCTTCTTGCATCCCAGACACCCAAGGCATTGCAGAGGCAGGCTCGTTGACGCTGCACGGGGCAGAACTCTCACCTTTCATGACTGGAACAGCAGAGCGAGGCCTGCTCGTGCCAGGAATGCCGGGGAGCGGTTCGCGGGTTCCAGGCGAGGCAAGTAGCTCTTCTCTCACGCCAGGAGCGGCAGATGAGGCGCAGGGTTCGTCCATCATGCCAGGGGTGGACATCAGTGCACTGCTAGCCGCGGCTCCCCTCGACGCAGACCCGCTCTCTCTCTTCACAGCAGCCACGGGGATCCCAACCGACAGGCCCTGCATGCTGCCCTTCAAGCCCAATCCTTTTCACAGGGATAGCGGCCTGATGGCTGTGATCGCGGATTATGGCTTGCCCACGGATCTGAGGCTCAGGCAGCTGTTCCCTGCGAGGAATGCGCGGGTGTATGCGACTGGCGCTGGTTCGATGTACCTGGACCCGTCGCTGAGTCACCTTGGTAAGCAGAGAGCGGGAGCTGGCTGGCTGGTGGTGTTCGTATGGACATATCTCCGGCCACTCTATCCCCCCGTGTCTGCCGTCCACCTTGTTTCGAATCTCCTGTCTGCTCCTGTTGCGCCCTTGCCACCCTCTCCCATTCTTTCCCTGCCTTAATACCATCCTGTCCCATTTTCTCGCCCTCTCTCATTCTCTTTCCTTCCTCCTCTCTCTCCCCGCTTTCCATCAGGCCCCTTCCATCCGTCCAACGACGTCTTCTCCCTTGGAAAGCTCATACAGCACCTGCTGCTGCCGCTCCCCCAGCCGCCCAACTCCCTTCCACCGCACTCCACCCCCACCAACCCCAGCGCGATGGCCCCTCCTACCGCCTTCCACTCTGGTCCCTCCACCTCGCAGTTTCTCCCCTCCATCTCCTCATCACGCTTCAGATCCAGGCGCAGCCAGCTGCGGGCGCCTGAGGGGTATGTGTCCTCGCAACCAGGCTCAGAGGGGATGGCGCAAGCACAAGAGATTCAGGCGCATGGGCAGGGGCAGGTGCAGGTGCGCCAGGGGCAGGGGCATCTGGGGCAGGGCCCATCTGAGGGCCCTGGGTCGAACTTCATGTCGCAGTGGCGGTCACTTGCAGCTCCATTTATTGGCTCAGGCAGCAGAGGGGCCGGCGGCCACAGTGATAGCGCTGCTGGTGCTGGTGCTACTGCTGCTGCTGGCGCTGGTAGTGGTGCTGCTGCTGCTGGTGGTGGTGATATTTTTGCTGGCAGTGGGGCTGTTGCTGCTGAGAAGTATGGTGAGAGCAGTCAGATGGACAGCAGCAGCCGGAGCAGCAGCATGGTGCATGGAGGGGCCATCAGCCGCAGCAGCAGCATCGGCAGGAGCGGGCGAAACAGCAGCATCAGCAGGAGCAGCCGCAGTGGCAGCATGCTAAGAGGCAGCGTCGTCAGCCGCAGCAGCAGCATCAGCAGGAGCAGCAGAGGGGGGAGCATGATTCGCGGGTTTGACAGTCGAAACAGCAGCATAATGCGGGGGATTGACAGTCTCAGCAGCAGCATGATCCGAGGGTTTGACAGCAGGAGCAGCAGCATCAGCAGCAACACCACAGGGTTCAGTGTGAGCAGTGGGGTCAGTGTGTGGTCTCCCTGGCGTACCCCCAGGAGAACACCTGGCAGAACAGCTGGGGGAATGCCTGGGAAGCTAGACAGGGGGTTGGAACAGCAGCAGCAGCAGCAGCAGCAGGAGCAGCAACAGCAGCAGGAGACGCAGCAGCTATCCCAGCAGCAGCAGGAGCAGGAGCAACAGCAACAGCTGGAGCAGCAGCAGCAGGAGGGAAGGATCAGGGGGACTCCAGCGGAAGCACCAGCAAGCGCTTGGGGCTTTGCTAGGGTGCTCAATGTTCTGCCCTCACACAAACCCACCTCGACCACCATCACTGCTGCCGCTGAAACTGCTGCCACTGGTGCTACTGCCCGCCCCACACCTTTCTTCTTTAGGAGTGAGAGCGATCATTCAGACGCCGATGGAACTGTTTCAACCGCAAGTGATCCCACAGATGACACGAACCTCCTGACCCCAAGTGCCGATGGGGTGTTAAACAGCATACCCACAGCGGTGGCTGGAGGCACAGCAGGTCTGGAGAGGGAAGGAGATCCTTCGGAATTCCAGCTTGAGTGTGTGAAGAATCTGGTTGTATGGTGTACACATGCGGATCCATCCTACCGGCCAACTTCCATTGTAGTGGAGCAGGCACTAAGGAGTATAGCGGAGGTGAGGAGCGTAGAGGAGATCAGCCACAGGCAGGTGCTGCTGGCGAGACTGAGCAACCTCATACCCCTAGTGCATGTAGGGGTGGGTGAGAAAACTGAAGGCAGCCAGCAGCACATGGAGTGGCTGCTCAGTGGCTAAAGCCTGAAGAATAAAGGCCACACACACAGCGTCGGCCAAATTTGTACCATTCAAACATGTCTTGGTATTATCCTGCGCAGAGGACAGCAGTTGAAGAAAGCTATCAGGGGCGATTCCCCATTTTTCCCCGCAATACCATGAGTCCATTTTGGAAGTGCAGTAGGATGAGAGTGACACTTTTTAGGAAAGGTTGTCTGGAGATGTAACCTGCATTGCAAGTAACCTGAGATTTCAGGAAAATTCTCCTGATTTTGCTGATTTTCATAGTGGCTTCCTGTACCGGCGTTGAACTTTCAGCCTTTGGGAGGGGGGGCACCCTGGATTTTCAGTGTCTTTTTATGTACCAACTGTCAAACATATTTGTGTATGTTTAGTAGACTACATAGGGTCTTGCCATAGAGAGTACAACCCACAAGCTATATACCCCTGTATACTCTCATTCTAGTCAACACTTCTAGCTCTGAGATGGTATCATGAGTAGGTTAGGTCCCCCCCGCCCACCCGCGCTTCTGCCTTAGGTCCTAGCCTGCCCCGTCGCCTAGCGCCTAGCCGCCCCAAGGGCCCCGCTGCCCCGTTGCCTTGCTGGCCCCGCGGCCCCGTTCCCTAGCGCCTAGCCGCCCGCGGCCCCGTTGCCCCGCCACCTAGCGCCTAGCCGCCCCGCTGGCCCTGCGGCCCCGTTCCCTAGCGCCTAGCCGCCCGCGGCCCCGTTGCCCCGCCACCTAGCGCCTAGCCGCCCCGCTGACCCCGCGGCCCCGTCACCTAGCGCCTAGCCCCTGCGGCCCTGTCACCTAGCGCCTAGCCACCCGTGGCCTTGTCGCCCCGTCACCCAGCGCCTAGCCGCCCTGCTGGCCCCGCAGCCGCCCTGCCGCCCCGTCGCCTAGCCGCCCCGTCGCCTAACCGCCCCGTGGCCTAGCCGCCCCGTCGCCTAGCCACCCCGTCGCCTAGCCGCCCCGTGGCCCCGTCGCCCAGCCGCCCCGCGGCCTCATCCTCCAGCCGCCCCGCTGCTCCGCGGCCCCGTCGCCCAGCCGCCCCGCGACCCGTCGCCCCGCTGCTCCGCAGCCCTGTCACCCAGCTGCCCCGCGGCCTTGTCGCTCAGCCACCCCGCGGCCCCGTCTCCCAGCTGCTTAGCCGCCGTGTTTCCCGGTCCCCGCTCGCTTCACCGGCCCTCTCCACCATCCTGCACCGCGCCCCACCGTGCTGCACCTCACTGCACCGCTCTGCATTGTGGCACGGCACTGCACGACGCCCCACCGCACTCCAATGCACTGCACCGTACAGCACTCCTTCTCACTGCTCCTCGTCGCTCCGTCCTGCCCTTCACCACCTGTTCGCAGCTGCAGCGGCCTTCATGGCGGACTCGGTACTGCGCTTTGACGCGGAGGGTCAGCCGGTTGAGTTCGGCTCATGGCTCATCAACCTCTGCCGTCACCTCATTGGTCAGCGGCAGGACGGCCGCTCCCTAGTCGTCCACATTGACGGTACGCTCCCCTGCCCTGACCCTCCTGTTGCTCTCCCCGCTGACCCCACGTTTGCTGACCGTGAGTCCGCCGCCGCTGCTGCCCTTGCATGTGTTGTATGGCTGTCGCGTGACACTGTCGCTCAGCTCACAATTAGCCATGCCCTCCTCTTGTCTGAGCGCCCCCGCTTTAAGTCGGTCAGGACTGCACAGGAGTTCCTAGAGGCTGTTGTCGAGCGTTATTCCACCCCGTCCTTTGCCTCTGCCGGCCGCCTGATCCTTCCCATGCTCTTCCCTGATCTCACGTCTTTCCCCACTGTCGCTGACCTGGTCATGCACCTGCACACGCTCAACGCTAGCTGGCGCGCTGCCTGCACTGAGGCCCAGCTTCGTGTGTTCCAGCCCCCTATCTGCTCTACCCTTTACCTGCTAGCCACCCGCCTCCCCGACTGCCTTGCCACTGCCCGCGACCACTTTCTTAGTCTGCACCCCGCTGATCTCACCCTCTCCGACTTTGTCGACACCCTGTCTGTCATAGAGACTCGTTAGCGCTCTATCGTACAGTCTAGCGGTACTGCGGTGGTCCCTATCTTTCTGGGTTGTGCTCCCGCCCATTGCACTTACTCTGACGGTTCTGCAGCTGTAGCTGAGACAGCCCCTGCTACTCAGACCATTGCCGCGGTGGCCGCAGCGCAGTTATGGTAAGGCTCGCCGCCGCAAGGCTAGGCGCGGCGGGGGTAGTGGAGGAGGGGGGTGGAGGTGGTGGTGGCGGTGGTTCATCCGCTGGCGGTAGTACCGACGAGGGGGCTGGGGCTGGTGCCCCAAAGCAGCAGGCTTAGAAGGAGCAGCAGAAGGCACCACAGCTTGACCAGCAGCCGCAGCCACAGCAGCAGCAGCAGCAGCAGCAGCAGCCGCAGCAGAGGGTCGGCCGCCTCCCGCCTGGGTGGCCTGGCGCTGGTGGTGGTGGTGGTGGCCCCGGTGGTCATGCGCGTAGCTCGTCGTCGGATGGTGGTGCGAGTGACGATCGTTGCCAGTACCAGCTCCAGACATGTCCTCGCCGCGACCTTGTATGCGGTAAGACCGGTCATACCCCTACTCGCTGTTTCAGTCGCCTGGATGACCTGTTTCGTCTCCGTTTCGGCCCCGCGCCGGACCTCCCTGACTGGCACAGTCTGCTCCGCCGTGGTGTTAGGATCTTTGATATGGACATGGATGAGATTAGCTCTACATTGTATGTGCTGTATGTCGATGACTCTAGTGTGACTGGTTCCTATTACCCCGTGTTGCCTAGTGTAGGTCTGACCAGTGTGTATAGTTTAGTCTCCCCTGCTACGTCAGGCGTAGAACCCTTTGCTTTGTTTAGCCTTGGCTCCACCCTAGCTCCTCCGCCCCCAGCCGCCACTGCCGCGCTCTCCTTCACTCTCGACTCTGGCGCGTTTCGGTGTTTCTTTCGGGACCACACTACGTTTATGCCGCTTGTCGTCCCTGCCGCAGTTACCCTTGCAGACCCTTCCTCAGGTCCGGTAGTCGCCCGTAGTTCCACAACTCTCCCCTATCTAGCAGTTCCTTTGGGCTCTCTTACAAGCTTGCACATCCCCTCGTTCTCTCGGAATCTAGTTGGTGTCGACTGTCTTCAGAACCTCGGCGTCACCACTACGTTCCCTGGTCACGAGAGGTACAGTGTCTGTACCGAGGCCGCCACTGGTGCCCCCCTCACCACGTTTCCCCAGGACCCGGTGTCAGGCCTGTTCACGCTGGACACCGCGTTCCCCCCGGTTGGGACGCCCCCCCAGGTGGCAGCGTCTACCCAGGTTGCTGCGGCTTGCTCGTGTCGGTCGCTTACTCACCCGTCGCTTCTGTGGCACCACCGCCTAGGTCACCCCGCCCTCACACGTCTCCGTTACATGTCTCAGCACGGTCTTGTCTTAGGTCTCCCTGCGTCGTTCCCTACGCTCCCCTCCTCGACAACGCCTCCGTGCACCCCCTGTGTCGAGGGCCGGCTCCGCCGTGCCCCTCACTCCTCCTCGTTCCCCCCACCACCTCACTGTTACTGACCCTGCACATGGACGTCTGGGGCCCCGCCCCTGTCAATGGGCCACGTCGTGAGCGTTACTTCCTAGTGGTTGTCGACGACTATACTCGCTACACCGTGTTTCCTCTGGAATGGAAGGCCGAGGTGCCCGACGTTCTTATCCCGTGGCTTGTCTCTGCGCGTGTGCACCGAGGTCTCCCTATCTTGCGTCTTCACTCTGACCGTGGTGGCAAGTTCGCCTCTGGCTGCCTTGGTCGCTTCTATCGTGCGGAGGGCATCACTCAGACGTACACCCTGCCGGACTCCCCGCAGCAGAATGGGGTCGCTGAGCGACGCATCGGTTTGGTCATGGAGGTGGCTCATACCTCCATGATCCATGCTGGTGCACCCCATTTTCCATGGCCATTCGCCGTTCACTACGCCGCCCACCAGCTTAACATGTGGCCGCACCCTAGGCGGCCGCAGGTTTTGCCGACCCTCCTCTGGACCGGGTCTTCTGGTGACGCGTCTGCGTTCCACGTCTGGGGCTGCCTTGCTCACGTTCATGCCTCTGGCACGGACAAGCTGATTGCCCGCACCGTCCCCTGTGTCTTCCTTGGTTTCCCCCTCGACTCGTCTGACTGGCACGTCTACCACCCGCCGTCTCACCGTTTCTTTCACTCTCGCGACGTCACCTTTGACGAGTCCGTCTCCTTCTACCACCGCTTTCCCCACCGTGGTCCCCAGGTCACTCCCCCCAAGTTCCTGGTTCCCCCCCCTCCCCTGGTCGCCCCTGCTCCTCCCCCTCCCCGCTCTGTCCCGTCTGGTGTGTCTCACGTCACCCCCCTCCCATCGGTTGTCCCTGCCGAGGCGTCTGCTGACTTTCGCGGCTCGGCCGAGTCCCTTCCACTGCTTGTCCCCGCCCCGTTCTCTCCTCCCCTATCGCCGACGTTGCTGTCACAGCCTCGGCCGCCTCCGCCGCTGCCGTCGCCGCCACAGCCGCAGCCGCCGTCATCACCGCCGCAGGGGTTTGTGCATTCTAGGGGTGCTGGGGAGCGTGCAAGAGTGGTGCCGGGGAGCGTGCCGGAGTGTTGCTGGGGAGCGTGCCTGTCACAGGATCGAATGTGTCGAGGAAAGGTTGCACTATCGATCAGTACAAGGCGCTTTTATACTTCCAGAGTACATCAGGTAACCAGGTTTATCTTATCCTAAGGGAATAGACCCTTCTAGAAGATAGAATCACCCTGCGTATAGCCACGCGAGGCTATTGGCTTTAAGAGATTACGGCAGGATTACGCTAGATAGCGTGTCTAGAACATTCCATGCCTGGTCGGTGATATAATAATAATAAAGGAAGAAAACCAAAGGATAATGGAAAATGGGGAATATGAGGCAAAAGGCGATGAGATAAAAAGAGGAATGAAATGAAGATGAAATATGGAAAAGGCCAAGTGGTGTAACGGAGTCGTACTCTCACACTTCCCCCCCTCAAAGCTGGGTGGTAGAAGTAACACCCTGCTTGACAAGGTAGTCATGCAGAGGACGACGGGCGTTACCCATGTCGGACTCAGAGACCCAGCTGTCCTCAGAAGGATCATAACCCTTCCAACGGATGAGAAGCTCCACGGTGCCATTCCGACGACGACGATGTGCAAGCACGGACTCGACCTCGTACTCGGGTTCGTTCTGGACGAGGACGGGCGGCGGCGGCGGCGGCTGGCGTCCGACGAAAATTGTGTTCGGGTCCCGATAGGGCTTCAGAAGTTGGACGTGGAAGGCGTTGTGAATCTTCCAGGTAGCTGGCA